CGTTGCGTCGAATTCTTTCATCCAAGCGATGCGGGTTCGAGACTCGTTCAAGCCAGGAAAAATGAAATGTGTGTTAAAGGTAAGATTATTAACTAATTCATTGATTGTTTGTGTTCTGCTATTAATTGGATTTACTTCCCTTGTAGATACATATATCGTCACACTTAGCCATATTACAAAGTACCGTACAATACAACCATTATACAATCCATATATACACATAACATCATAATCCACGATAATCTCACTAGTCAGGCGCATGCGTAATACGCTCAATCAATATATTTGCTCTCATCAATCTCGAAAAAAAAAAAATTTGAGACAAAATTCGGAAAAATTCCAGAAAATGGAAAAAGATCCACATTTTTTGACGTTTTAGGGCTCTAATAACCTGTACCGGCTTAGGTTTAGCTCGGCCTATACATTTCCCCTATAGAAATAACCTGTACCGGCCTGAATATAAGGATATTTTCACTTTTCTGTCTTCTACCGTTCTTTCGGGTGTCTACCACCTGTCACCTATCCCGTCCTTTTTTAACTCATTTTTCCTACTTATCCATCTACCAGTTTTTTTTGTACCTTCTTACCGTCTGCTGTGTGACATTTCTCACCTCTCCCGTCCTATTTTTTTTCAATTTCCTTCTTTTCCATCAACCGGTATTTTTGTACTGCCTTACCGTCCACCCACCTTCCTCAACGTCTCTTCTGCCCATCTTCTGCTACCATTTCATACTATTTCCTCCTCCCATGTTACTTTTATCTTTCCTTCTTCTCCGCTATCATCCTCTACCATCTTTCTTTTTTTTTTTTTTGGCTCATCGGGGGATTCGAACCGCGGACCTCTAGACTTGTATTTAACATCAAGGTTAGTCGGAAAGCGTCCAACCCACTGGACCAGATGTTAATTGTCAGTAAATGTGTTTGGAAGTAATATTTAAAGTTAACAAGTTCTAAATTTTCCATAAATAAGGTTTTCTGTCACTCTTGCCCACAGTGGGATTTGAACCTCCAACCATGCCAGGCCAACGTCCAACCGACTGAGCCATCTTTCTTATATATTTATATGCGTTTGGAAGTGATATTTAAACTTTACCGACTGAGTACCATCACCAATATTATATATCCACACCTACCAACCATCTTTCTCCCATAGAGACCCGAACCGCCGACCGCTACCTTCCAAGTCAAGCGTCTATCCCACTGAGCCAGTATTTACTCGTCAATTTCTGTGTTTGGAAGTAATATTTAAAGTTAACAAATCCTAAATTTTCAATAAAGATATATATCTGACCTCCGCATCGTGGGATTCGAACCACCGACCTCTCGGATGCCAGGCCGACGTTTTACCGACTGAGCCAACTATTTCCGATAATATATTATGTTTGGAAGTAACATTTAAAGTTTGTTCTCAGTGTTCTTTATAAAAAAAAAATAGTGGCCTTTTTCCATTTGTTTGGTAGTAAATCATCGTGCATTGGTTAAAGAAGCCTCATTTCCGGGACTAATGGGTTACTATTGTACAAGCAAATTTAGAAAAACGGTGAAAAGTTGCCGACACTTATTCTTCTGAAGGAATTCGAACCTGGGACCTCTTTACAACTAGCGAGCGACAGCCATAGCCACTGGACCACTACAACAAGTAGTAGACTTGGCACAGTGCCATGTCTCCGCCCCCTTACTCATGACGTCATTACCTGGACTCGTTATCAATATTGTACAACCGTCGAGTGGTTTAAGGGACGGAACTCCATTAAAGCCACGTTTAATTTCTTAAAAATGTAATTCTGAAGTATTCAAAAATCCCGCTCCGAAAACTTTGTTAAACTGCTGTTTCTATAAATATCACAAAGCTACTGAAAGATAAAAAAAGAGAGTAAATAAGACATCTTCCACGACCCGTAGCTAGACTTGATTGTCCGTAGGAAGAGGGTGGGCAGGGTACATATCCGGAGGTGCAATTGGGTGTGGTATTTATAATTTGTCTTTTTTGGGGTCTCAAATATTCACCAAGTATCTAAGTAACTCAGATATTCACCAAGTATCAAAGGGTCTTAGATATTCACCAAGTATCTAAAGGGCCCAGATATTCACCAAGTATCAAAGGGTCTCAGATATTCACCAAGTATCAAAGGGTCTTAGATATTCACCAAGTATCTAAAGGGCCCAGATATTCACCAAGTATCAAAGTGTCTCAGATATTCACCAAGTATCAAAGTGTCTCAGATATTCACCAAGTATCAAAGGGTCTTAGACATTCACCAAGTATCTAAAGAACCCAGATATTCATCAGGTATCAAAGGGTCTCAGATATTCACCAAGTATCAAAGGGTCTTAGATATTCACCAAGTATCTAAAGGGCCCAGATATTCACCAAGTATCAAAGTGTCTCAGATATTCACCAAGTATCAAAGTGTCTCAGATATTCACCAAGTATCAAAGGGTCTTAGACATTCACCAAGTATCTAAAGAACCCAGATATTCATCAGGTATCAAAGGGTCTCAGATATTCACCAAGTATCAAAGGGACTCAGATATTCACCAAGTATCTAAAGGGCCCTAGATATTCACCAAGTATCAAAGGGACTCAGATATTCACCAAGTATCAAAGGGACTCAGATATTCACCAAGTATCTAAAGGGCCCTAGATATTCACCAAGTATCAAAGGGGCTCAGATATTCACCAAGTATCTAAAGGAGCCAGATATTCACCAAGTATCTAAAGGAGCCAGATATTCACCAAATATCAGAGGGCATCCACTGTGGTTACTCAAAAAACAGAAGATAAAACAATTTGTTAAACAAATTCAAGTTTATTGGGCATGAATCTAAACAACAGATTTGAGAACATTCTATCAAATTTTATCAGGCACAGTCATCAGGGGGTACGTCTGTAGTACAACAAGTCACCAGCTTTCCAACATGGTCTTGTTACCATTGGCAACGAGCATCTGAAACAGCAAAAGGGTTAAAGAATAAAAGTCAAAGAAACATACGAAGGTTGCTGTGCAATGGTGGGGGTACTTGGGGAGGGAGGTGTCATTTGTCCCCCCAGAAACATGGTCATCCACTTCATTAATGAGAGATTCCAAAGCATAATGTCTATGTTTTGCTCAAAATATGTGAAAGAATGCACCCTCAATGTCTTCAGATCCGCGGGTTGCCTAAATCCTCAATGTCCCTAGATCCCCGGTGTCCCCAGATCCTCCGTAGCTTCAGGCCCTCAGTGTCCTCAGACCCCCACTGTCCCCTGAGCCTCAGTGGCTTCAGACCCCCACTGTCCCCTGGGCCTCAGTGGATTCAGACCATTTGTGACAGACGTGTGCCTATGCGTGAAGCTCACTGTGATCGGAGAGTAATAACTTAGTAGACTATTAAATAGGAACTAGTTTACCTACCCGTCAATGCATTGAATGAGAGACCCTTCTTTCCAATTTCGACCAAATCATCTTAGTTTAATCTTTTTCAGTGACTGCATGATTAACCAATCGCCCAATTACTGCTAAACTTGGCTTCTTAAGTTGTTTGAAACTAGAAATTCAAAATTTGAACATATATTCATAAAAACCAATATGGCGGCCTCCACAGTGTACACGTGCGTCGACATACATTACAATTTCTATCAAAATACATGTTTCTTGCCCCCTAATTTAAGAGAACGTTATTTGCAATTACAAAGAATAAGCGAATTATGAAAAATACCTTTATAAAATTCGATATTAGTCTGTATTTACTTTAAAATCTGCTTCCAAAAGTCAACATGTCCCTTTCAAAATGACTGAGTAACCAGGCGGCGCTACAATCTGAACTGTGTTCATGATATAATTCTGTACAATACTAAGACCACAATGGATGTTACATTTTAACCTGAAAAAGAAAATAAGAATTACATCATTTGTAGGCGGAACATGCAGGGAGAGTGAGAGGGAGAGGGGGGTCAAGAGGAGAGGCCCCAAGTGGTCGACGCCCCTTGAGGCAGGAGGTCTGGGGCTGGCAGAGGTCCCAAGAAGCCAACGGATTTCAGGTGGTCTGAGCATTTAGAGAACTTAATTTCCACTTCAAAATAAGAATTCACAGACCTGAGAGGCGGGGGGTCCTGACCCACCACGAAATACAGCTAAATAAACATTCCGAAAGTGTTAAAAGCTTTAGCTTCTTACTAATCAAAACACACAGATTATTCTCCTAAAATAACGTCGAAAATGGCGACCAGGAATAAAAAGGTCGTGACCCTTCAAAGATTAATCCTCAATCAGATGAAAGGGAAATCCGAATGAAAACACCTGCTTATGATTGGTTAGCACCTACATCATCAACCAATCAATTTATCGACATGATAATCTAGAATCAAGGTAGCAAAGTCATTTTGGTGAAACGAGTTTCACAAAGGGGTACAGAAATTCACTCTTTTGATTGGCTAAGACAATTTCATCAACCAATCGGTGCACATAGTTTTAATTCTGAATAACCCTGGCTTCATTAGCAGATTGTTTGTGTAAGCGATTAACAGTCAATCTGATATGCGTGAACGACTGCGATCAACAAAGTGTTGTTTCGGTAGCAGATAATAACGGGGTAGTAGATTTATCCTGCCTGATTTTGAAAGAATAAAGCAAAGGGCAAGGAAATTGAATAGAAAACAGGAGGGGAGGGGTGCTATTCGAGCTGGTTATGTAAATAAAACCCGATTCACTAAATAGTAAAACGCACTACTGATAAAGAAAATGTAAATATGAAAAAAAGTCCAGTAATTCCTAACTGTAATTGTTTTGTGTAATCGTTGAACTGTAAACGACAGATAACGGTTTATTACAGTTGACCGGTTAACAGTTTTCACTATAGATTACGTTTTAATATCAAAACTCGGCAAATCGCACCCTGAAGTTTCTCTCACTACTTTCACCCTTTTCCCTAAATCAATCAGATTCCCTGTCCGACAATACTTTGGCCAAGAGCATCCAAAGACTAAAATCAATTGTCCGCATAGTTAGTTCATCTATCTACAGTCCAGAAGTCCAAGAGCAATGGTCCGCCGATCTCGTGAACCAAGAGCAATGGTCCGCCAATCTCGAGAACCAAGGACAAGGATTCACAGCCCTCAAGAACCAAGATCTCACGAGCCAAGGACAATGGTCCGCCGATCTCGAGAACCAAGAGCAATGATCCGCCGATCTCGAGAACCAAGAGCAATGGTCCGCCGATCTCGAGAACCCAGAGCAATGGTCCGCCGATCTCGAGAACCAAGAGCAATGGTCCGCCGATCTCGAGAACCAAGAGCAATGGTCCGCCGATCTCGAGAACCAAGGACAAGGATTCACAGCCCTCAAGAACCAAGATCTCACGAGCCAAGGACAATGGTCCGCCGATCTCGAGAACCAAAGACAATGGTCCGCCGATCTCGAGAACCAAAGACAATGGTCCGCCGATCTCGAGAACCAAAGACAATGGTCCGCCGATCTCAAGAACCACGGACAAGGGTCCGTCGATCTCGAGAACCAAAGACAATGGTCCGCTGATCTCGAGAACCAAGCACAAGGATGCTCCGATCACGAGCCAAGGGCAATGGTCCGCCGATCTCAAGAACCACGGACAAGGGTCCGTCGATCTCGAGAACCAAAGACAATGGTCCGCCAATCTCGAGAACCAAGCACAAAGATGCTCCGATCACGAGCCAAGGACAATGGTCCGCCCATCTCGAGAACCATGGACAAGGGTCCGCCGATCATGATATTCACTGAAGCAGAGCAGCTTATAATCACTGGTTTAAAGCTTCGGCCCAATGATTGGTCAGCTGATGTCAACATTGTTTGGCTTCAATTGTGATCGCCCTGGACTGTTAGAAGATAATTAGGCTCTGGGTAATTTGAAACCCATACAGTAACTACCACGGAGAGTAGGAGGACGACAGCTGGCAACTTAGCATAATATACTGTTACAAAAATGGAGTTTGGACATTGTTTGTGAAGATTGGAGATAGACATTTTGAAAAGGCGTTGATTTTAATACGAAGAGTGAATGAGACCGTGTTTTTAATGCTGGAGATATAATTGCAAGCCTTAATTGCACTACGAGATGTGTTTTTAATGCTGACGTGCTAATTCAAAATCATTAGTACATATATGGAATTAGAGAGGCCACAAAACGTCGCCCTGCTGTCTACCAAGTTTATACCAAATTCTACCAGCTTAGTACGAGATGTTTAAGGCAGAAAGAAGGAATTTACACAGAAAGTAAATCACATCACATCGTCCCAGCTATCAATTATAGTAAGTAAATTTTCTGTAAACTCATTTTGCATTTCTGAAGATACATAATCGAACATATACGAGGCAAAGTTTTACTTCAAAAGACTATCGAATTTTAATTTTCTCTTTGTGGGTCGTATTAGTGGTTGTAACAAAACGTAACAAGGATGTAGCGGTTACGTAACGTTTTAATTACAATCCAAACAATCGAGACTATAATAGCCAATCATCGAAGTCGAGATATGACCTCGGGATTCAAAACAGTGATTCACTATTCAAACTTAAACAATGGTTTTTCTAACACGATAGAGATCTCCAAGTGAAAAGTTCAACAAGTTTTAACGAAATGTCATAGCTAGTCGATGAATAGTGAACGTTGAGTATAACGTATCAGATCATGAAAAGGTTTGGACTTTTATGCGCAAATTATGATGGTTTTTAATTTTGTGTGCCGTTGATTAACACGACAATATTTGCTATGGGCCTGAATCGTTGGTTGATAGATGACAAGTTAATGTTCGCTTCCATTTGATGCTGATATCACAGACTATGTAGTTTTTGGTAGTCGAACCGGTTGTATTGTGCTATTGATTTACTAGTTGAGATCTGTTCGGGTCGAATGTCATGGTGGTTAATCTCAGTGCTATGGATATTCGATTGTTGCTGTAGACAAAGACAAAGAAAAGCTAAATAACTAACTACAAACCAATGAACTTGTGACATTGTGTATACATGTATATCTTTTAAAAAATCAGAGAGATGGCTGACAAGCTTTTTGACGATCTTCATACATCAAAAATCACTCACGGTTGAAGTATTAATTGTCAATTGAATAGGATATTTCTAAACTTCATTTGTTGGAGATTAAGCTCGTCGTGGGATTTGGTCTTAAGACTTCTTGTCAACCTTCTTTGAGTGGGTGCTCCAATGTACAGAACGCAAATTGTCCCGAGCTGTCTTTGACCGACGTTTCGTCTCAGCTCAGCTGTCCCGATTGCATCCTTAGGATGTAGAAAGATACGTCAATGAACGTCCAGGTCCAGTTCATACTTTCCTTATCATGTGTTGTCTTAATGGATATCTATTTATAGACTGTACATGCACCGTTTTTACACGACTTGAGGGCACCCAATACCACTCGACGATTACATTATCAACTGGTAACCATGGTAACACCACGTTTATTTACCAAGTCGTATTCACCTCTCATGAAAGGAAAGTGTAACCTTTGTTTTTAGGGTTTTAATGCTGCATTGTTTTAACACGTTTCGTTACTTTTTGTAGACGACACAGTAGAAAGCTACAGTTGCCGTCAAGTAAAGTTAAATTCGGAACAGAATCGAGATGGTGCAGTTCCAGACTCTTCAGGTAAATTTCCATTTTGATTACAATTCAGTAGCTTAAACTAGATGAGTGGGGGCTCGTGGACTTAGGAAGGTTAGGATCCCTCTGGAAGATGAAGAAGGGGGTGGGGAGCTAATGGTTCACCCCCTATGTATTCTGGAATATGAAGTGTAATAAAATAGGATGGGGGTGGGGTGGTTCTTGCAATCTTTTAAACTCACCCATGAAAAAGTTGAGACAATCCCACGGTCTAACACCTGGACATGGTCGATCCTAAAGAACTGAGATAATCTCCAAAATTGGCAAAAAAATATGACTCTAATAAAAGAAAGGTGTGCACACAATAAAGAGGCGGGATAATCCGGATTATCTCACTTCAGATTATCCAGGCACTCGTTTTATTTTCATTATTACTTATGGTAGAGTTAACAGTGATTTTAGTGTACTAATATGCCAAAGGCGATGGGAATTTTTCAGTTATTTGGTTTCCCTTAAGGTCTCTTCTTTATGGGCTTTTAATCAACTTCAAGTCTGCCCTTAAAAGTGTCAGGGATGAGATGCCATTTTTAAGACGATGCATCCCAAATTGCTCCATAAAATGTCTTCAATAAACCTATCTTTTGCCGAACGTATTTGCTATGTTACTACATCGTTAGTTTAAAGGACCTCTTATAGGAAATTTGTCCTCCCAAACTGTACTCCGAAGTGGTTCTTTTATACAGGTTACAACTGGGAAAATCTCTTTAAGATCAAGCTACCAAGTTGGCAAGAACACTATGAAGATCCGAAAAGTTGAAAATCAAACTTCCGTCGATAGATTAAGAGCTAAATAACTTTATCATTTGTAATAATGATGTTTCCGTTTACAGGAAACCCTAAATACACAGTATCAACTTCTATTGAGTACGAACAGACGTCAATTATATCATTTTGAGTCATTATAGCCTTCTATATATTCCTTATGACTCAATGATCGAAGTCTATGAATATCGAAACTTGTGTTTTGCCTGGTACAAACAGACCGAAACCCCGTCTTCTACAGTTAGCTATAACACTTCCTAGTTTACCAAATATTTCGTATTTTAACGACGACTCCATGACGGACCTGTATGAATATCGAGTTTTGTGCTGTGCTTTCACAAAAACCACAAAAGACTGAGACCACCAAAACAGAAGAACAACCCTACCCGAAGCTTTTGATAATGTTTCCATTTCCTTTCTTATTTCAGTGATGGTGTAAACAATTCAAAATGGATGTAGTTGGCAATCTCTCCGCTCTGGCGGACCTTGGAGCATTGGGATCTAGTACTATAGCAACAATCACTTCGAGTTCAGGTTCCAGTATGGAGCAATATTCTAATATAACCAGCGTGAAACATTTTAATGATATGAAAGCTATTGTGTTGATCCCGGTAGTAGTGTATAGTGCTTTGTGTATGGTAGTGGGTGTGACCGGAAGTGCTCTAGTGTGTTTCATCTGTGGTTTCAAACTTCGTAAAAATGTGACCAATATATTTGTTGTGGCTTTAGCATCCGTGGACTTGGTGAGCTGTTTAGTGTGTATTCCACTTGAGATAATGGAGCTCCGCTCTCCTTTCATGTTTGACTTTCCAGTCTTTTGCAAATTGCAAAGGACCCTCAGGTCTCTAACTACATTCACTTCCGGTTTAATATTAGTTGCTATAGCAATCGAGAGGTACAACCGGATATGCAAACCACTCAATAAACATATCAATAATGCGCAAGCGCGCCGTGCGTGCGTGGCTGTTGTGCTCATCGGTGGTGTGTGTTCGTGGCCTGCTGTGTTAGTATTCGGCAGCAAATCCACAGAACTCTCACCTACAATAACAGGCGTGGAATGCTCGACTGGAGACGAACTTTCTCAAACATTCTACCCTTTTGCGTTTTATGTGTTCTTATTCTTGTTGTACTTTGCCACATGTATGTGTTTATGTGTTTTATATTCACTGATCGCAACCAAGATTTGGAGGAGACGCAAGCTTCTCACGGATCTACGGACAAAGGAGCGAGCACCAGCAATAGCAGATAATTACAGCTCGGATATCAACTCGCACGCAAAAATCGTAGAAAACTTAGCAACAAACATTCAAAATGGAAAGATGCCTCGTCCGTCAGTAGCTATTGACGCTTGTCCGCATACAATGAAACGCAAGAGACTGTACAGCCGCAAACGTACGACATGTATAGTGTTTTTCATGACCTTAACTTTTATTGTGAGTTGTCTACCTTACATAATTGTATCTATTTGTCGATCCATCTTGCCGGAGTTGTTCACGGACTTGTCAGACGCAGGTGAAGTGTTTTTCCATCTTGCGCTCAAGTCGTTTATGATCAGCAGTGCTGTTAATCCTTACATTTACGGTTTTTCAAACGGACAATTTAAGGAAGAATGCTACAAGATTTTCAAGAAGATCTACTGTGGTTCTAAGGACGGACAATCTCAGAAATATCTTACGGGTACGACTCCGAGTGGAAAAGTGACCATACGAGCGCACACCGAGAGCGAAGCGTAATCAAATCTGATTAAAACAGTTTTGTCATTTTCGTTTCGTGGATTATTCAGATTCATATAAACGCTTCAGACGCAAGATGGTCGGAACAATGTGTAAGCATGAACCGTAAGAATGACACGTAAGAACTATGAACGGATCAAGCGTTAGATAGTGCTCGTTTTTAGTTTTTTTGTTTTAACTGTAGGGCAGTAGGGATTTCATGCTTGAGGTCCATAAAGGGGTGTGTATGCAATGCTTTGGACATATTTCGGATGACCAACAATCTAAAGCATCAGGGACCAAATACACATGCTCTTGGGGTCAAAATTGTGGGCTTTACGAAATTGTAATTTTAACCTCAAAAGACAGACAAAAAGTCAACTGTTCTCTTGAATTTTATTGTACATAAACCAATAACCTCCTTCCTTAGTGAGTTATCTTTCCCTTTGTCTTATCCATTTGATAGAAATCCGCTATCACGAACTACTATTGTTATATTTCTTTGTTTAATAATGAATGTATATAAATACAATGTATAACATGAAACGAAGTCTTATATGTAGTGCCCCCCACCCTCCCTCCTTTCTATCATTTACAATAGTCCTGTAAAGTATACTTGAAGACGTGTGGTCGAGCATTCATCTAAGTTTCCAGGTCGCCTTGGGTGCCCCAATAACTGCATACTTCTATCAAAACAGCGATTGCGTCTCCTCCTTTACATCCAAGACCGCTGCAGAGTTATACAGTTAGCTTAAGTCTATCTCTATCCGCTGGCAATCTTAATAAAATGAAGCACTATAAATATTGTTCTGATATGTCATAGCTCCTCTTCTAACGAATGTTGCGTCTACACATCCTCTTAAAGGCTTTACGGCACTCGCCGCGGAATTTCTGGTTACCAAACCCGTAAACGATGGCATTACCAGTATTGCTTATCAGATAGGACCTCATAAACAGCTGAACCAGCATCTGGGAATTGGGAGACATAGCGATATACCACATTGGTCCTCTGGTAGTGAGTAAAATGGAGACAATGAGGAAAGGTAGAAAGCTGAGGATATAGACCATGGTGATGACGAATAACATCATCGTCGCCTTTCCAGCCTGAAGGCCAGATTTGCTGATGCTTATACTTCTTGAGAATGTGGACAAGGACTTCAGAGGTGATTTGGACGTAGACGTTCGTGGTTCTTTCTTCTCTGGCATCTTTACAGGCGTTTGAACCTGCACTTTCTTTTGCTCGTCAGAGGAACTGGTAGCATTGTCGTCGAATGCATCATCGCTCAGCTCCATCGAGTTGGTCTTTTCAACATCAGCCAGCTTCTTAACTGAGATGACTGATATTTCCTTGTCGTTTGCTTGTGAATTCGATCCAGTGCTTCTTAACGATGCTTTCAAGGAGTTCTTCCGCTTATCTCCCTTGGATTTCTGCATCCATATTTTGGCACCGATGAGTGCGTACAAGATGATCATCACAAGGGCAATGGCGAGAAATGCCACCCACAGGTAGACATAAAATCCAATCGGAAACGTCGTCTTTTCCAGCCCATCCGCAACGCTGCACTGGGTTGCCATAAACTGTCCATTAGGTGGTAAGGGGAAGGTCTTGTTTCCGTATACAACCAGCGCCGGCCATGACACCACAATCCCAATGATAGTCGATACAGTGCAGGTAACCTTCGCTTTGTGATAATCAAAGGACTTCTTGTTCGGCATGCAGATCTTAATGAAACGGTCGATGGCAATGGCGAACAGCAACACCACGCTACTATTGTTCATCCAAAATGTCGAGAACCGAGAGATCTTGCAGAAGATGTGTGCGTCAAAGGAGAAGAAGTTCACCAAAATGGCGATCTCAGTTGGCATGGTGATAGTACAGTTGATGAGATCGAATACAGCTAACGTTGTGATAAAACATTTGATTGGAGTTCTTTGCCACCGGAATCCATACACATAAACCACCAGGATATTGCCTGAAACGGAAAACGAATGCATGTAAATCGGACAAAAGAAACCATCTTAAGACCAGTGGTGTTGCAAGGAGGAAGGGTGGAGGAGTAGAGACCACAGAATTGTCAATGGCTGCAACTATTTTTTGCAAGAACTGCGTCTGCGAGTGACGTAATTTTCTTATACTATCATAACAAGAGTAGATGCTGTTGCCAATACTGAAGAACCGACTCACCTATCAATCCAATAACCATCATCACAGCCACATAAATGATAGGAACAATCATAACCCACACCATCTTCTCGTTAAGCAGTTGGACGTAATTCGGTGGCAAGACGATTTTGGTGGCGTTTCTCGCTGTTGAGTTCAACATCTTTCCCGTTACAATGTTGGGCATTGGTTCCATTTGGGTCATATAACTGCTGTTCGAGGAACTAGTTGAAAAAGTTAGGTTTTCCATTTTAGCTCTGAAAAACAAGGCATTTAAACTATACAATTTCCACTAGCACTTAAAACAACTCTTTTGGTGACGTATTCTCGAAACGATCTTAGCGCTAGGATGTCCTAGAATCAATGTTAGAAGATAAGACTCTAGGATATCCTAGCAGTAAGATCGTTTCGAGAATACGTGGCTTGGTCTCTTGTCTAGAAAACTGAAAGGACGCTGCAGAAGATTGCGAAAAATTCTCACAGTTGCACAGGTCATAGATAAATAAGTTAAACCCTAACTTATACGAGTATATCTGCACAGTATTATCAGCCGTTCCGGATACAGTGACAATTGTCAGGAAATCAATAATACTAGTAGTATACATGGTGTAATTGTAAGTATGAAATGAGGCCATCTCATCTCCCAGTAATAAAACCGTATCCTGGAAGATCCCACCTTGATATTCGAAGGGTGAACGAGTCAGTCTAGACATAAAACCCTGCTGGTACATAGCTTCCGGGGAACAAAGAGGGCAATGACCTGTAGTGTCCTGCAGGCTGTCCACTGGACAGTGTTCAATCTTGCATATGAATTACAGTTCTGTTTCAATTTAAAATGCTAAATTAACTTCCACTATATATTGGATGGATGGAGGCAATTTTGATAGAACTATCGCCCATTATGGCAACCAACCACCTGAGCTTTAAGGATTAATCTACCTTAACGTCCACGTGTATAAGCAGATTAACTTAAAAGGGTTGCGCAAGGCCTATGTGATATTGGAAATTGGAATGGTGCTATGTGATGCTATCATTGTCCCCAATTCACATAACATTTTTAGAAAACCTTTTTACAATCCCCTTAAGGCAACCACCTGAGCCAGCTTAACGTCCAAATGGGTAAGCAGCCAAAGTTGATAAACTTAATAAAAAATTAACGTACCTTTTAGTCGTGTTTATCCCCAAGACATAACAGCGTGTTATTAACAGTATGACTACTGAACAGGAGACCAGATAGAAGCTGAGAAGTCTTTACCAAAGTGGCCGTTTCCGTTCTTCGCGGATGTTATGTAGTAGATTTGCGTATTTAGCCCAAATTCACCGATATTCTGACGCATTCATTATAATATTGTATTCCAATGACTATTGACGTATTGACTATTGCCTGTGAAAGGTCTTATCGCAATTCATTAGCCCTCTAAATGCTAAAAATTCTGAAACCGTTGGCTTTTAGGCACCCTCACCCCCCGGGTTTAAGGGCTCCGTAAATTCGGGCCTCACCTCGGAGAGATGCCTCTTATTTTTGCCCTCACCCCCAGGCATTTTCTAGTGGCACCGCTGCCGCTATTTGGAGGTCAACTTAGAATTCGACAGGGCTCATGCTTTCTTTCTTAAGAGGGGCTGAAGAAAGTGTCGTGTGTCAACTGACTGTCACGGACGCACATGAACCTTCAACGCCATTGACACACAACAAATAAGCTAAAGTGCATTACCTGTAGTCGCAGCAGCCTCATTTGGTAAGTTTTTCTTCTCTTTTAAACAAGAAATATTCTTAAATTCGCCATAAATCCAGCAATTGTTTTAAATGCGTCAAGAAGCGTGCATTTGTTTACATATGAGAGTTACGCCCCCTGTTGCTCCAATTAGCACTTCCGCCGAAGCGCGTGCTTTCAAGTCAAAATGGACAGACGTCAAGTCGGACAGCTCTTAATACGCCAAAGCGTACACAATGACAGACAATGCACTTTATTAAGCAAATGAAACGATCAACGCCATGCAGAGTGCAATGAGGGAAAATTTGCTAGCACAGCAGCATTGGCCAACTCTTTACGATTTCCAACTGTCAAGGGATCTTTAATGTGCACATGCTGTAGCACACAGGGCCTCAGTTTATTGTCCCATCAGAACAACTAGATGCTTTACAAATGGCAGCCCCTCCTTCACTATGCCAGAGGACACATTATCCATTAATGCTACAACTGTTGAGAAGAATAAACAATCATAATTCATTCTAGAACCATACTTTATTTTTAAAATAAAACAATAAGTTAAGATCATGCCCGGCAGGTCTTTAGCTTTAGGAAGCCACAAGTTTGATGAAAAAGGAGGGGGCAGGGGGATAGAGTGGCATGCTCTTCATGCAGAATGATTAAAAAATAGCACTAAGTTAATCACTATATCCTCGAAGCTTGGTGAGATGGGATGAGCATATTCTTTAGTGATGCCAAGCATTCCAGGTATGAGCACATCCTTTGAGTGATGCCAGGTGTTTAAGGTGTGAGCACATCTTTGGGTGATGCCAGGCGTACAAGGTGTGAGCACATCTTTGGGTGATGCCAGGGCATGCCTGCATTGCCCTCTGGTGATATGACAGCACATTAAGAGTAAACTCAACCTATTATGAAGCACACCAAGCTGTATACATCAGCACAATTAATGAACACAATAGCTTTTCAGCAGATTTGGCTTCCAAAACTATAAACAGGACTTTGGAGGCCATGATTTTTGGTTTAATGTCTTTACACTATAGGATTTCATCATAATTCAAGTACAGTGTCTTATCACGTTTTGTAAACTCTAAGATCTTCCCATTCATCCACAATTCAGTCCTAAATCCATTTGACTTTGTACAATCCAGTCTACATTTCTCTACATTCAATTGTGAATAAATTTCTCAAAACCTCGCACGATTCAGTCTAAATCTCTTTGAGACCTTGTACAACTTTTTCCACTCAGTCTTAGCAAGTCCATCATGTCTAAGGTTCCAAATCTTAAATATATTTGAAGCATTTCTGTTTGTCATGAGGCAGCCTGGTTTTAAATAAAACAGAGTCTACTCTGTACTGGGTAAACAGTAAGGGCATGTACCCATACACTTTGGCAAAGAAGTTGATACATTGATGGCGTTCCTGGAAATGAGAGTCGTCACTGGAAAGAGTCTGTGGACAGCCTGGACAACGGAACGTCCAGCGAGAAGTTACCTACAAGAACAATGATAAAATTTATGATTTGTTTTTGGAATAAATAAACCAAGTACTAACGATCTAAACCGCAAATCGAAACCTGAAATCCAAACAATATAACGGTGGAAAGGACCCTCATGAACCTAACTTTAAAAAGATCAATACCAAGAGGTTTGGTCGAGGATCAGCTGGTAGAAAGGATCCTCGTGAACTTGGAAAAGATCAATACCACGAGGTTTGGTCGAGGATTAGCTGGTAGAAAGGATCCTCGTGAACTTGGAAAAGATCAATACCAAGAGGTTTGGTCGAGGATCAGCTAGTAGAAAGGATCCTCGTGAACTTGGAAAAGATCAATACCACGAGGTTTGGTCGAGGATCAGTTGATAGAAAGGATCCTCATGAACTTGGAAAAGATCAATACCAAGAGGTTTGGTCAGGATCAGTTGATAGAAAGGATCCTCATGAACTTGGAAAAGATCAATACCACGAGGTTTGGTCGAGGATCAGCTGGTAGAAAGGATCCTCATGAACTTAATTTGGAAAAGATCAAAACCAAAAAAAGCAGCGATGCCAACATAATGGGATGGCGAAGTATAAATTATCAACTTACTTTAATAGGAGGTTTTCTGGTGATATGAGAGACTAGGAAATTCATAGCAATATCTTCACAGTTAGTATACTCATCTACTTTATCTCTGATAGCTTGAGGCATACTATACGTATACAGATAGGCATAATACTGAAATAGATCATGAATGAATTAATGAATGAATTAATGAATGGAATAGTTGAATGAATTAAAATAAAAAATATCTGTACTGAACTATATCATAAATAATCTTTGTAAACAAACTTAAATGAGATGTAAACAAACTTAAATAAGATGTAAACAAACTTAAATAAGATGTAAACAAACTTAATTAGACATAAACAAACTTAAATAAGATGTCAACAAACTTAAATTAGATGTAAACAAACTTAAATAAGATGTAAAAAAAACTTAAATTAGTTGTAAACAAACCCAAATAATTGTCAATATACTTACTTTATGAAAGTAAGCAGCACCAGTCAGTACCATAGAGAGTTCACAAGAATAATTGGAATTATACAGCCAACTTTTATGCTCCACGTCCCAGGTATGGAACCGTCCTGGAAATCCTACCACTCTCTCTCGTTCTTCTCTCCAGACTCTAGAATTATTTCAAATCAACTTAATATCTTTAATACCATAGTCCTGTTGTAATGATGCTATTTTAAACCAATCAAAGATTATCATGTATGAGCATTTTTTATCTATCAATAACGTATTAAACCTTTTATGGGTTTAGCTATCCAAAACATGATTATGTTATCAAGCAACAAGTTATACTTGACACACTTTGATTGGATGAAAACAATGTTAATAGAACAGGAATGGTGTAGAAAGCTTGTTAGAGTACAATGGAGACAAAAAGTCAGAAAAAAAGAACAGCAATTTGAATGGAATTCATATAAGATTGCATGCCAGCAAAAGGTCCTCATAAAGGTGTAGAGATGTGTTTGTCAGTTTTGCCTAGTTCTTGATCTACTAACCTGAAGCCAAACACAATTTCATCGTGTCTAAGGTGAGCATCATCATCAATACTGAGTATAGCCTCTGTTTCAATCACATCGTACGGTAAAAATCTATTATTCAAACTATTTTTAGCAGTCTTAATCACCTGAAAGATAGCATAGACAAAACCAAATTAAAAGTTGCAAAGAAATGTTAATTGATAGCTTGAAACAGCTTGCTCACTCTTCGGTTACCCATGATGCAACAGCGAGACATTTCAAAGTTTCAGTCAGACATGAATGGCAATTGGCAAATACAATCCAATCAGAACCCTTGACAGATTGTCTTTCTGTCGAGAGCTCTGATTGGCTGTATTTGCTGGTATAATCCAATCAAATTGATGCATTGCGTGACACAAGAACAGTGGCTATTATAGACAAGGTGTAATACCTTGACCATTGTGAAGATGGTGTTTAAGAAAAAGAAATGCTTACATTAACTGGAACACCAATATCAGGCCAACGTAACTCAACAGATGGTGGTATTTGATTGTTCCACACTACCACCACTCGATTGAGAAATGGAAGACCTTTTAACCTTAATACAGCTTTAATTAACACTTCTTCTCTTTCATAGGTTAGCATCACAACTGAAAACAATCAAACACTGTTCAAATATGGTTTAAACATGATATAACATCTAAAAAAAAATGCACCTTGTCGATGAGCAAATTCTTGCTTTTGAAACATTCCACATGAATCATTAACATACAATCCAACCAAATTGCTTCATTCACAAGCTTTGTGACACAAAAAAGGAGGCTATTTCAGTCAAGGTATAAGACAAAGTTCGTAAGAGCTTGACAATGTGAACTTACTAGTGAATTGTTCGCGTTGAAGATTTCCCCCTAGCGCTTCACTGAATTCTTTACCGGCGCCACCTGTACCATGTCCTATTGGACGATATCCAAATCCTGACCCTGAAATCAAATAGTAAATTTTGGTAACTGTTAAGGATAAAAAATGACCCATGAAAGCATTAGCTGTAGTAATAAACTAATCTGAAGTTAATACTGCATTCCATACCCTTCGTGATTACTGTGTTCACTGGGTCAATGTTGGGAACTGCAGAAATGTAGCGAATGCAGCACAAGTTTATACAAAGTGGACACCACTTAAAAAGTCAAAAATACTTACCTAAAAATTTAGCATCTGATGATAGGATGGGATCAAATGGTGTAAATGGATACAGATGGTTAGGATCACCAGGTTTGTTGAAGCTCTGTTGAAAGAAATATTTGGTATAGTTCCTGCGAAACTCTTCGGAAGCGAAGCGTTCTTCTTTAGGTCCCAGAAACTCATCTGTCTCTGGTTCCGTGTCGAGTCCATTATATTTAAGCGGAACGAAGGATGCATTAAACACGCTTGGCGAAGGTTCGTCTAACACTGGTTTAGGTGGAATTTGTAGGCGAGTTCTTATCACAGCTAATGTTGTGTCCAATATATTCTCAGTGGTAGAAAAATAGGATTCCCAAAAGAATCGGCCTTGATGCCTCATGGCTAAAATGTCATTGTCGGAAAATGTTCTTAAGAAGAAGAAAATTTCAGTCACTCGCGCTGTGGGTAAAAACACCACAGCCTTGTCCCAGTCTAGGATTTCTGAATATGGCAATGTCATGTGATTTCCCAGAATTATTGGCACGGCACCGTATTTAAGAGATTCAGCGAGTCGAATTTGAAACACTGTAGTTGACACAATGGAAAAATTGCTTGGAGCAATGAGAATTGAAAATGTAGAGTCTTTAAGAAACTGGGCACGTTGAGAAGGAAGTCCACAGAGAGCCCATTCCGACGCCACACCCTGTAATTTCAGTGAATCACAAGATAAAGAAATGTGAACTTCTTCACCCATTTTACTCTGCATGTCTTTTAATGCTGTTACTATCTGCGTTTCTATGGAAACAAGAGTTGGCACGTCTGCTACACTTTGGAGGTGGCGATGAATATTGTTTGTTTTATGCACATTCATTGAGTTAAAAAATTTACCCTGTTTAACTTCGTAATTTTTCGGAAGGAGTATAGTTTGACCCCAAAAAGAAATAAAATGTTTTCGGCGCACTGGGACAAGGGAAGGTAACTCTTGCCATACAGGTCCGTCAGCTTTGCCTTCAACCATTGGAGGAATTATAAGATCAAATCCAGACCTGTAAATCCTGTCTACAAAGGGTGACTGGATAACTATTGCACGTCCTGTATTGAGACCAGCGAAGAAGTCTCTATTATGTACACTGCTGGCTAAATTAAGTAATATGTGGTTTCTGCCGTCACCTCTCCAATGAGGCAAATTATGCAAAGTTGATTCAAAATTTGATTTGTCAATATTTTGATTTTCTAGTTCACCCACGACTAATAGATAGACACAAGCTGAATAAGATTCTTCTGTGACGTAACTATTTTTACCTAAGGCTTTAATCAACGACGATGCCACAAACTCTTCCACTTCAAACGAATCAGAAAGCACATCCTGGGAATTGTAGACATAAACAGGAAACCCAGACACAAGAGAGCAGATGGAATAATCAAAACATGTATGCATTCGACACGATTTGGCAGTGGTCATTGTCACTTTGGGAATAATTTCTTCTCGATCTATGTTCAAATCAGTTAAAATTCTTTGAGGTGCTTTTATGTTTGGTATATACTGCGATATCACATCTTCTTTTTCCAGTTTGAGCTGCTCTAAAGTTAATTTCACTTGGTTCATCTCCTTGTTCAAACTTTCATACTGAGATCTTAACGCCTCAACGTGGGCCTCATACCCTGATATTTCCGTTCTTAATTTCTGTCGCTTACTTTCTAAATTCCGTAACTCGTTGTTTACCGATGTTTTGATTCTCTGAAGATCACTGATTGTGCTTTCTAACTTTGATGGTATCATTGGATCTAATTCTCCATTTAAGTACTCTAGCTTGGATCTTGAGTGGTATGTAGGTAGTTCGGCATCACTGCCAATGTTAGACAGATAGTAGTGAGTTATAAACGGCACGGTCATGAATAACACTACGATCATGAAGACCATTTTGAGAAGCGACAGCCCGTTGAAACAAAAACAGAATTTGGTTTTCCTTAACATTTTGATAAAGCCCATTTTGATCCTTGATCACTGACAGAATCCTCATTAACAACTCTTCAACCACTATCCAGAAAACAACTCAGCATTTCATGAATATTCATGATCTACTCCAATATCCGGATTTATTTTCTGATCATTTAGTTCTGGAAAAAAAAAGATTAGAAAAAATTATTTATCTTAAGTCCCGAATAAATTAGGTGTAATGCTCAGCAAGGTGTTTGGAGCAGGATTATCGATACTTAACAAAATAGAAGAAGAGATTTTCAGCATTGTGTTTATGTTGAATTTGGCTTATAAATGACAATTCTAGCACATATTATCTGAGGTCTTAATACGATGTAGCATACTGACTGAGGTCCTGTGCCATGCTCAGAACGATAGGACAAGAAAAACTAGAAGAAAAGAGGCTTGTCTACATAGCACACAATGGTGGGGGTGGGGATTTAATAATCCAATTTGGTTCATTGATCAAAACTCCTGCCATTTCGGCTCTAAGGCTGATAAAAGATTGACATTTTCATTTCTCTTTTCGTTACAGAGACTTCTCCTGGATAATCAGCTATTTACAACGATTCTCATCACTCAAAGACATAAAAATCGGAAGTTAAGAAGAAATCGAGAAATTTGACACACTTTCACCTCCATTTTGAATATCCTCCAAGCACCTGCTAAAATGTTTTGATATGAGATTTTTGAAAAAGCCAATAACAACAAAAAACATCCACTATTTTTATAATAAAATTGATTTTCATTATCAATAGTGTTTAAACATTAATCATTGCTTTCATGTTTTTGAGAAATTTAGTAGTTAAATTATCAAAACCATTTTGTTTTGAGACTATCATAAATCACATGATCAAATAGTTCCAAGATGGTGGGTATTTTGCTTATTTCTTGCAAGTACCTTAGGTTTTTCGCAATCTGTCTCTTTCCCTGTGATTCGATCGTCGAAAAATTGCATTTGACGTGAAGAGCACATTTTCAGTAGTAATCCAGCCAGATTTCGTTGTTTGCTAGGCTACCATTTTGAAGTTGTGTCAATTTAACGGAATTAAAAGTTGGTTAATCCCAGTTCAAATAAGGTCAATCAACTCTAAAAGGCCTGATTTATTGTCACGTGCTGTGATAAATGTCAGCTTTAATCATGGAAAGATTTCCTTAAAATCTGAATTTTAAACAAAATAACCAATTTAGTATAGAGACAATTAATTATTTCATCAAATAATGTCTGATTGTCAAGATCACAAAGACAAAACTGAGCCAGGAGCAATTCTTTCCCTATGCTATTATGTAATAGGGCCTATAACAAGAAATATGGGTAGGCTAAAGTTTCCTGCCTCAGCTGTTCCAGGCCCTCTCCAGAAATTCTGATTTTCAAAGGCTGCATGAGTGGAATAGAAATTACGAAGAGATAATAGACCCCTTTTACTTGCTCCAATTCAAAAACAAAATGAAAACGGATCTTCTTAACATTATTATTACAGCAAGTTAATCTATTTTTTTCAGTCTTATACAGAAGATGAACAAGTCGTGGGGTCGTTTCCGAAAGGGTTTGGTTATGGACCAGAAGAAACAGATTCAGATATTGGAGCCAGTGGAGGAGAAGAGAAACCGAGAATATTGTTAATGGGACTCCGAAGGTATGCCATACAACTGTTTAATAACTGTTTTTCCATTGAGGGAAACAGCTGAGTTTAGACTACGTTTAAACAGCTAACACTCCAATAGAAACGCTGCTTTTACATACTTGGTTATTGAAGTCAAGGTATAAGACACAGTTCGTAATAGCTTGACAAACTGAATAATATGTGCTTTACCTATAATATATTCTGTTTATTTTCCAGGAGTGGTAAATCTTCAATTCAAAAAGTCGTCTTTCATAAAGTATCACCAAATGAAACTTTATTTTTAGAGAGTACCAATAAAATCGTTAAAGACGGTAAGTGAAGCCTTTGAATAACTATCTGCGGAAGATATAGAAATACCACATAACATTCTTAACTATGTGGACTCAGTGAAATGGCAGGTCGTTTCACAAAGGGACAGAACTGTGTGTACATAAGACTACAAGTAATTTTTTCTATTTTTTAGATGTATCCAACAGTTCATTTGTTCGCTTCCAAATCTGGGACTTACCTGGTCATATAGATTTCTTTGATCCAACTTTTGATTCTGAAAATATATTTGGAGGCTGTGGGGCTTTAATATTTGTCATTGATGCTCAGGTAAGCTATCAGCACAGAATTTTTGAAAATCTTAAGAAACCTCAGGCCTGGTACATCACCCATATTGTCTATCTTTTGATTGATAAAAAGCAGCCAGTAAATTTAGATTTACAGCTACAGGCTGTGGATGTTAAAGATCCCAGATGGAAATCGAAAAAAGATTAGGCTTCTGGTGCTGTCCTGACATAAATTCCCTCATAACACATTGCACGGCGTTCGCTATCTTGATTAGGACATTAGGTGCAGAAGAGTAGGATGTAAAACTCCATTCATTTCATTTCATTTGCAGGATGACTATATGGATGCCCTAGTAAGACTTCACCATACAGTAGAAAGAGCACATAAAATTAACTCCCAGATCAAGTTTGAGATATTCATACATAAAGTAGATGGTTTACTCGATGACCATAAAATAGAAACACAAAGAGACATTCATCAGAGAGCCTGTGATGATTTAGAAGATGCAGGTTTAGAAAAAGTTAATTTAAGGTAAACAACACATCTTCATAATGTCAAGCTATTACCAACTTACGTCTTATACCTTGACTGCAATATTCACCTTTCTTGTATCAGGAATGCAGTGATTTGATTGGATTGATGCCAGAAAATACAGCCAATCATAGCTCTGGACAGACAGACATAATGCATTGCATATGTATCGAAAGAAAGTAGGTGAAGACACAATGAAAAGATATAGGAATAGAAGGATAAATATTGTTAGACATATCAGATTCTGTGTCATTCCATTGAGGCCATATTTGATACACACAGAACCTATTTATAACTAACCAATTGAGCGCCATTTTGACCTGGTTTTTATCTCTTAAGGGATCTCTATATTTTTTTGCAGTTTTCATCTAACAAGTATATATGATCATTCAATATTTGAAGCATTCAGTAAAGTGGTACAGAAATTGATACCCCAGTTACCCATTCTAGAAAATTTACTCAATATTCTCATATCTGTAAGTTTCGTTCCTTTTATCTTATCAGATGTGATATCGACACATTTAGGGCCGGACATAGGCTCTTCAATATTTCTCCATGACTTTATAAGTTACGCCTACCCCTTGAGTGTATTGTGGTTAACAGTTCCCTGACATGTATCGCCGTGTATTTTGACAAGTATCGCCGTGTATTTGACATGTATTGCCCTGTATTTAACATGCATTGCCCTGTATGTAACATGTATTGCCGTGTATTTTACATGTATTGCCCTGTATTTAACATGTATTGCCCTGTATTTAACATGTATTGCCTGTATTTTTATATGTATTGCCCTGTATTTTGTAGAATTCTGGGATAGAGAAAGCGTTTCTATTTGATGTAGTGAGTAAAATCTATATAGCTACTGATAGTTCACCGGTAGATATGCAGTGTTATGAACTGTGCTGTGATATGATAGATGTAGTTATAGATATTTCCTGTATATATGGGTAAGTATTATATATTAGCAGTTTGCCAAGCTAACCACTTAATACTTAGAGGAAGCACCAGGGTACAAGGGGGGCAAGAACCTCTTGGATGCTCCATGCGCCTGTGCACTTCAGCATGGTTGCTGAATAATAAATTCAGCCTTGACATTAAGTTAGTCTGCACCCTATATGCCACCACTGTTACTTTGAGCCGCAGGTGATTAGGATCTCATCAAAGTCCCTTCAACAGCCAGAAAGATTCAACTAATGCTACAGGATCAACCAATATCTCTGCTCACCCCCTGAATGCCGCGCACCACGACAAAGCACTTGAGCACTCTCCTGCTTAAAGCATGTCATACAAATCTGTACAAAACAAAACAATTCCATTAACCAAACATCTTGTCCAATGCATGACAAAATCGGCAGCAATAATTGTATAGTAATGGACTCCTCGAACGAGAAGTACCATCAGGTGTTTGAAGCATGTGTAGAAACCCCTGTCTACTCAGTAACAACTGTATTGTGTATTCTAACAATGTGCATGTGTCTTTTTTTTTCATGTCTTTACAGAGTTAATGATGTTGTCATTTCTAGGTACTTATTTATTTTTTGTACTAATTATTGGTAGTTTTATATTCCCTTCACTTGCTTACGTCATTGTCTGTTCTTAATAGAATCATTCATCTTAGGTATTTGGAGGTTATTCTAAAACATGGCATGTTACAGATGTGCGTAAATGCATGCAATCTTTTTATCCAAATCAGTGATGCATGGAAAAAGTGTCTAGTCATTTCGATGGGACAATAAACCGAGGCCCTGTGTGCTACAGACTGGGTCACCTTAAAAATCCCTCGACAGTTGGAAATAGAGATAGAGCAGGCTAATGCCGCTTTACTGACAAAATTTCCCTTATAGCACACTGCATCATGTTTCCGATTTTCTTTTGCTTAATTAGATGCAGAAAAGTACATCCTTTCGTTGTTTTTTTCATTATAGAAGTCGTGATGACGGGGCGTTCGATGACCAATCAGCAGCCATTATTAAACTTAACACAAATACTGTATTATATCTTCGTGAGGTCAATAAATATCTAGCGTTAGTTTGTATTTTACGTGAAGACAATTATAACAAACAAGGTAGGTAACTCTCGACTGTTTAAATTGGAATTGATTTGAATTACAGCTGAATTATCTGAGCTCAAATGAAGAAGGAGGGTTTTGAGCTTAATTTACAGAGCTATTTAAAGCTTATTTGAAGCTGAAATCAAGAAGATTAAATAACTTACTTACTAGCATAGGCTTACTATGCATAGCTCAAATGAAGAAAGCTTAATTACTTACGTACTAATTCCCCGCTCTCATCTTGATGCATAGGTTACTATGCATAGCCTTTTTACATAGGCTTTAATTTAGGGCTTCGGAAAATAGAACAAAATTCCCAATTAATTATGTATTTTTTGTCTCGTTTCAGGTTTAATAGACTACAATTTTCATTGCTTTAGAAAATCCATTCAAGAGGTGTTTGAAGTCCAACAGAATAAAACCGGTGAAAGTTTAGTGGCTAATGGAACTGTCAGATCTCACAAGACTTAGTACTTCCAGGATTTTCAGTGAAATCAGACAAAATTTCAATCCCAATTCCTCGTATGTTTTACAAAAAATCTTGTGATCAAAGTTGGCTGATGTTTGAATATTTACGCCTCAAAAATTGAAGTATTTTACCTATTTATGTGTAAAAATTTAGACGTTAAGATACCCTAACACCATAGTGATTACCAGTTGTGTATGGTTGTGAATAATGAAAGTGGTCATGAGTATCGAATGCAACACACAAGTCAGTTACGGTCGAATCTTGGTTGATTCGTAATCATACACAGCTGGTGATCTCTATGGTGTAATGGGTCAGAGGATAATTTTGTTGCAAGATTTTTTATGAAAAGGGATCTAGTGTATGACTGTGTATGTGGATTCTGTTGTATTAACTGTTCATGTCTGGCTACGTAAAGAAATGTTCAATAGTTAATATGGTGCTTAAGCCTTGTTATTTTAAATGCCAGTTCAGTTTGACAGTGGAACATAGATCATCCGCTTCAAATAAAATCGTGCGGTTTAACGCAAATTCTCGTAGCTGAAACATGCCATGTTTTAACTAGAGTTGTTTCCCTTTTGTCATGTATTTGCGCTTGTTGCACTCCCAACATTTGCACATTTAAATGCTTTAAGTTCATAGAAATGCATAATATAGTTATTTTTTACCACAGTGATGGCTTTTACATGCTAGTTTGTAAAAAAATGTTGCCAAAATATGTCGCCCATTTGATTCTTTCCTAAATTTTCACCACATTTTTTCTAAACTAGATTGAATTGAGTATTTGATAAAGTAGCTCTAATACCCTGGTTCCCAACCTGGGGTGTTTTCACCCCCTGGGGGTGTGGGACTAGGGTTTCAGGGGTGTGGTCATCTGGTGTAGAAGAAATTGAGAGAGCACCTCACATCATCACATGCTGAAAATGTGGATGAAACAAATTTTTGGGGGTGTGAAAGGTCCAGGTGATTACTCCAGGGGTGTGAAGGCTGATATAGGTTGGGAACCACTGCTCTAATTGAGTATTAATCTATAACTGTGAGAGATTGCTAATTAAAGTGAACAGTTTGTGTTGAAAGTTGTCCCCTATGTGCACCAATATTTTTGTCCTACTGTATATTATTCTGTGTAAATTTTGTATAAAGTAAAATTTGTTATATGTAAATACTATTTATAATATAAAGACTCCAAAAATTCATATTTTTTATGTGTTTTTATGGTACATTCCGAGCAATTTCAATTGAAATGAATGGTGTTTTACCTCCTACTTTACTAGCATCTGATTGGTCTAATGAAGACGGGCAAAACAATGGAAAATTTGGAGGTCAGTGGCAGATCTTAATTTTTTTGATTAAGGGATCTTTAACGTGCACACCCTGTAGCACACTGGCCTTGGTATATTGTCTCACCCGAACAACTAGACTTTCCATATCAGCCCATCACTGACAGGGGGAAACCAAGTTGAAAAACCAGAAGATATTATCTCAACCTATGTTGGCTTTAATCCTTTCCCTTTAGGTTAGCGACAGCCCCATCGTTAGGGTGGGGTCCGTGAGGGCTGGGCCCAGCAAAACCAAAAAAAGATTTAGATTTTGATACGTTTTTGGCGCAAAAATCTGAGCGCCAGCCAGCCCAATGTGCCAAGGGGGCAGCCTCCAATTCATTCCTGGAGACAGGGCTAGTTAGCAGGCAGGCATGGGAATAACAACTATAATATAATTGTTTTAAGTTATAATGATGACAATACCTGTTTTATTTCAACATAATGATGTATGGTATTTTAACAAATGATATAACAATATTATAGACTCCAAAACAAAATAGCTCTACTTGATTTACCTCCCTAAACCAAACTCATCAAAACAGCCTTGAATTACGTCTCTTTATCCAACCCTTCCTGCCAAAAGTTATTATGTAAGAATTGAATTATCAACAAATGTGACTAGGTATTTTGCAGTGAAGAGTTGTCCACAGAAATATTCCAAAATTTTATCATGTATTTCAGCTATTTCTTTTTTGTGGTCTTTGGTTTATTAAGGTAAATCAAATCCAGCCAATGAGACAAGTTGAATATGTACAGGGACAATTTATAACCTATGATTTGATTGGTTTAAATGCTAATGAACTAACCAATCAATGACCGATGAAATGAATGATGAACCAATCAACAATGATTGAAAGTGAGTGACTATGATTGGTGAATACTAAAATGAATATTCTGGCAACCAATGAAAATGGGAGGTAGACCTATGTTAATTTACATATCAATGATTGTGACCCTTATGAGGTCAATGAGGTCATTTTTAGAATAGAATGTAGGTCTTCAAACAATCTAAAGATGGATGAAATTCGTTCTTCTGAGCTCCAGTATTTACTGTTTATCACAATTCACTTCTTCTTACTCTTCAGAAGCTGTTTTTCTTTATCACTTGTCTTTGTTTACACAGAGATTCTTTCTGATTGGTCGAACAAAAGCTGAACATGTCTTTATAAGGCAAACAAGACTCCACTTGCAAAACAATTTTTCCATATCAATCGAATCGAACAGCTATTCCCACCAAAAGTCTTCTTAAATTAGTTGCTTCATAGTCCGCGTTAATCATATTTTGGCGGCAATAGCTTACCATTTCATTCATAATTATACCAGAATCATTCTAATAACAAGCACTTTACAAGATTTATATTTCATTTATATAACAAACTTAACAAATCTAACATGGTTTACTTAAACTCCAATACGATTGGTCAACATGACATTTGCATGTATACAGACCAATCAAATTAGAGAATGGCATAACCAGTAGGCCTAATTCTTTTTCTCAGGCCCATGAACATTGCGACCTTTTCATAAAGGGTTAATTTCTCAAGGATTGTCAGATGTGGCAAATACCCTCTGCCATTTCATACACATTGTTTTATCCTGAGCATATTAAATCATTCAGTGACCTTAATGATATGCGCATAATTAATCAGTATTATATACATATGTACATAATTTCTCCTACTTATCAATGTAGTCAAATTCAACAGGCAGTACTATACACAAAACACCCCCACTTCATGAAAATGAAATCTTCTAAATGCACCAAACTGTATTAACTATGCATGTGCAGATGAGTCCAAAGATGTCTGGAGGTGTCAACTTTGACAGCTGCACAAATAATCCACTTAATAATTCACTTCTGGATATGACACTATTTTGGAAGACACTCTTACTTTAAGCCCTAAGCAACCAATTGGTTACTATGGTGAACACTTCAAACAACTGGAGTATTACACCTGTTCCATACTAGGCTAATATCATATTTTTTCAATACTTGACTTTGCCAGTTAGTTCAGTTAGTCAGTGAGACAGTTATTTCATTCACAGGGTAAAACATAAGTCAAAATCTATATTAAAAAACAAAATCCATACACAGACACCAATATCACAGTTTTTTCAGTCTCCAGGTTTGAACAACTACATGGGATCGTGGTTTCACTAAGTTTTTATCAGAGAGAGATTGCCAACAGACAGAGTTTGTCCTTCTACTCTATCTGTCAATTAAGTCTGTTGACAATTCAATCCAAAGTCTGTTGACAATTCATTCCAAAGTCTGTTGACAATTCATTCCAAAGTCTGTTGACAATTTTTCTCAAGTTTGTTGACAATTCAATCCAAAAACTGTTAACAATTCAATCCAAAAACTGTTTACAATTCAATCTAAAGTCTGTTGACAATTCTTTCCAAAGTCTGTCAACATTTTTATTTCGTTTCATTTTCAAGTTTTAACACACCCTCCCCTTCCAGTCCTTCAATGTCTGGAATGGGCTGCCTCCAATAGTTCACAGAGCTAAATTCGTTTGTGTGGTGTCGTAAATGTAGAGGAGGAAAGAAATGATCAGTGATTTGACTTAGATTCGTGTATCTGAAAAAGAAACAGAAAAAATTGGAAAATAAAATAATGGAACATCAGTATTACTTTCCACAATTGCAATTAAGCTTTGCATTTGTCTGCAATCAAATATTCAAATATGGAATAGCCAGTTATGCAAATAAACTGCTGTATAGTTATCACTTGTTGTATTTATTTGTTTTATTTTCAAAAACTGGAATAGGTATTAGACCCAAACTAACCTGGGAGATTTTTCTTCTCTACAAAATGGAAAGGGATTCGTAACTTGGTGTTTCGGGAAGATTTCGGTTTATTTTTAAGAGACAGACAAGGGCATGTATTAAGGAATTCTATTTACGAATTTTTTCGCCACAAAGGGACATAACAGGTTAAGAATTCTGTACTTACGAAGAGCGAAACTTGTAAGAGAGATCATGAGTTAACTCCCCTCGATGGTTGATGGTGAAAATACGGAAACTTGGGATCTTTAAAGCTCGATATGCTACAACATCCTGAAAAATAATAGTTATATTTTAATCTAGAGCTGGGAGAAGTAACCATATTTGTTAAAAATAACAACTTAGATTCACAAGGATCCTTTAGCTCTCAATCTAGCTAGCCTGATTAAACCTTTACTTACATTGATTTTGTTACCAAATCCAGCGTAAAATGGAGACAGAGGAAAGAGGTCTGCTACATCTTTTAAACAGTTTATTTTAAACTCCTCTGGGTTCTTCACTATCACCTCTCTAGAATATAAAAAATACATCTTCTAGGAACTTTTCAATATCAGAGTTGACCTCTTACTTGTCAGAGATGACCTCCGACTTGTCAGAGTTGTTCTCCCACTTGTCAGAGTTAACCTCCCACTTCTTAGAGTTAACCTCCCACTTGTCAGAGATGACCTTTCTCTTATCAGAGTTAACCTCCCACTTGTCAGAGATGACCTTTCTCTTGTCAGATGTGACCTTCCACTTGTCAGAGTTGACCTCCCACTTGTCAGAGATGAACTGAGCCTGTCAGAATTGAACCTTTCAAATGTTGCTCTTGATACAAAGGTCAGTGTAAATTACCATATGCCACTTACCTATGAAAAGCACTGATAAGAGAAGCAGGATTAAGTAAGAGAGGACCATCTGGCAGAACTAACTCTCCTTGTCGGATGTTTTTCAGTAAATCTTTGGTAATTTTGGACTGCCCAATAGCCCTAGCTGAGAGGTAGATGATTTTGTAGCCATTCCGATCAATACGGGTAAAGAGATCTGTTATACCAGACTGAGTCCAGTCTTGGCCTAATATCGGCAAAATCTGGCCCAACACATCAGACCTAAGAAAAGAAAAAATCAAAAGATTAGCTTCAGATGTTGAGGGAGTTGGTCAAATTTGATCTTAGATCTAGCATAGATCCTTCATGGATTATCTGTGCCACTGATGGACTGGAATAATGAGGAAAGGTCACCATACTTTCACACCAACCATGAAAATTATAACTTACTTTGTGATGGTGCCATCAATGTCTGATATCACAATCTTATCGTCATAGCGCCATAGATAAACATGAGAGGTACAGCGTGTGGTACCTTGATATTGAGTTGTGACTGAAAACGTGATTTCATTTACACCTGGTCTCAAATTTAACTTTCTCTGTAAATAGAAACATTAAAACAGAACCTGAAACATGTTGTTACTCTGTGCAATCTTCTGACAACTGAACTATTCATCGCTTATTGTTTACAGTCTTTCTGTCAAGAGTTCTGATTGGCTGTATTTACAATCCAATCAAAATGCTTCATTTAGAAACTTCTGTGAAACAAGGGTGGCTATTGCAGTCAAGGTATAAGACTAAGTTCGTAATAGCTTGACATTGTGAAGAAGCCACCAGTATTGTGGAAGAAGAACTAGAGTAAGTAAAGTGAACTTACAATTTGTTCTGTGGTTAAACGTAGACTTTTCTTACAAACATCCGGGGGACTCTCACCACGATGAATCGTGGCCATATTCAGGGGTGGTAACTCTGGTATCTTTTTGATCGATGACTGAGAAATGAGGATTTCCTCGGAACCTTCTGAGTCTATTTCACTTGGAGATAAGCTGCTCTCTTCCTTTGGTCTGAAAAGTTGCATATTCATGAAAATCAAATATCCTTTCCAATTGCATCAAATCAATCAAATCGCTTCATTTACAAACTTCCGTGAGAGATAAAAGGTGGCTATTGCAGTCAAGGTATAAAACAGAGTTTAACAGCTTGATATTGTAAAGATGGCATCGCACCAAAGCCTGGCTTAAGAGAGATTGAGACTTACTTTGGTTCTTTCTTAGGAGTAGAATGAACACTGGTTGGTGCACTAGATGCTCCACTGACTGATGTGGTTACGTTTAATCCACTATCACTCTAAAATATAAAACATGATATATCAGAGAATCTAACAGTGATATTCCAATAACCTACTTAATATGTTCACTTTTAACCAATCACCTTTCAAACACAGATAATTCTTGACACACATGGATAAGAAGGCTCATCTTTCGATGGTGAGCTGTGAACAATATTACTGATTAGTGTAGCTAAAAAATTCCAGTTTCTGAGACTAAGGTACCATTGGTCAAATAGATGGCGAGCCTGGCTGTTTAAGTGACCAAAAATGTACTTATATCAATCATCAATAAAACAATCCATACCGTTTTATTAAAGCTCTCAGATTCTGTGGTTGCTATAGATGAAGGGATGGTTGTTGGGGTAGTCGGGGTAGTAACGGCTGACGTGCTCACTTCCTGTGTGGTGTCTGCTGGTATAGTACGTCGCCATGGAAACCATGATGACCCACCAGATTTCTTCTTCTTTGGCATGTGTTCTTTACTTAAGGACTTGACTGTGTCCTGTAAATGTTACCATAGATTTTTGGAAACTATTTGACAACTTGAAGGTCATTGTTCATCATTTTGGGGGTTGAATTGAGTCTTGAATATATGCAAATGTCTTTAGCACTACTAAAACTGATTAAAACTGATGATTGGTCATTCTCTTAAATCATTATTCAGATGTTTTCAACTATAAGCCTTTCATTGATGACACTTTATAATAAGCAACATCAAATTACAGAAGAAAATGGAAAGGGGTTGACGATTGTGGTGATGATGATGGACATTTTGCTTTTTCAAGTGTAAAGACATGCATTAGCTTTTATAATTATTTACATTTAGACTGACAGACAAACAAACAACGATGAAAAACAAGCATGTTGTTATTGGATAGTTTAACAAAATTTCAAGAAGAAATCAGGTGGAAGGTCTAAGAAATGACTAAATGTATTATAGCAGCACAAAGAAATTCATGAACATCTGAACCTAATGAGACATCCATTATGTTTTGAGGTAGATTAGTAGTAATTCAAGCTATACAAGTCAAGACTTCTGATGTGTATATGACTACTTAAACTACCTCCAAATAAAATGGACTCTTTGTTGAGATGGAATAAATAGTAATAAACTATAGAAGTCAAGACTCTGCTATGTTGATTATTACTTAAACTACCTTAAACCACATGAAGCCACGAACAGAAGAGGTATGGTGGTATATGTCCAGTGGGGGGTTATGGATACAGTAGAACATAGAGGAAGTGAACACACGAAGTGCCCGGACACAGTGGGGATATGATTCGTGTACAACTGTATCGATAAACCCAGACCATACACCCTGCCAGACACAGGACCTGGTCTATTTGTTGCTTTAGACTGCTCATATTAATGTTATAAACTGTCCAGGATGTCATGATTATCTTTGGTCCACTAAGCTATAGCCTACATGTTTATCATATAATTTAGAGAGGATTCTGATGACAGGTAAGCATGAATGTTTGCTACACGTTACATGATCTAATTTATCCAAAGCCGACTGAAACAAAAACAGGTCAAAGGGTAAGCCTTTAAGCTCTTAAGCTTTCAAATCCTAGTCACGTAATGTAAACACCATCTACTTTTTAGCTCTTCAGCTTTCGAGTTCAGGTCCTGTAATCTTGAAACGATCTTAGCATTAGGACATCCTAGAAACAGTGTTACAAACTTAGAACCTAGGACATCCTAGCGCTAAGATCGTTTCAAGATTATGCGACTTAATCCTAAAACTTGAGTAAATTTGAGAAACTGTAAATGCAGAAACACATAATTATACTCTGCAGCAATGTATATCGATTCAAATTTGGAGTCCACACAAGTGGAACAGAGCCACATCTTTGCCACAATTAAAGGTAGCAGATAAGGTCCTTAACTAGCTATAAAAATTAACCTTCTATCTGGTAATGTACATACCTCAGGAAGATCTTTATGAAAAACAACGTTAGATATCAACATTGGTGCTGCCACCTGCCAGTTGACGTAACCCCTAAAAATTTAATTCAAAATTGAATATAATTCATCTTGGCAAACAACTGGGTACCACTTTGCCAAGACTGCTAATAATACCCAAGAACTTTTGTGATATTGATGTCATAAAACGATAAATTTAAGTCCTTATGTGTATGGAAATTCTCCAAATTTTACTCTAGAGAGTACGCATACTTACTTGTCATGTATACGGACAACCAGATCAGGATCATTAATCATGTTGGGCTTTTCACACAGATCACCAAACGTAACCACCTTCTGCATAAACTTCTCTAAGTTCACTCCATCTGGATCAGACAGCCCGCCACACAGAGACAGAGAGACGTGTCCAAGGTGCCGGACCTCTGACTCCAAGAAACTGACTGGTCCTCCCACAGCGCCATCTACTGAGTGTGGAGATTGAGGTAACGAGGCTCCGCGACCTGATTCACAATCATCATCTCGTATCGACATAAATCTGGAAATACAAACAGATGGAGTTTTACACCCTACTACAAAATTTCGAGATGATGATTCAGATTTTAAAGATGTTAACTCAGATATTTTTCTACTGCTGGTTGATTTAAATTAGATAAGCAACAACATGCAGAGTTGACAATGAGGTAAAAAACACATGTAGGCTGAAGGAAGGGATTGAAAACCTGTCTAACTCACCCTCGGGGACTGCCAAGGTATAATTTAGCAATTTCTGGATCATCAAGTTGTAGGTCATCTAAATAAACTCCATCTGCTTCTTGCTGTTTCATGGAACTTTCACGTTTCCACAAGCGGAAGAGCTTCCCTGATTTATTCTTATCTGAAATGGACACAAGTCTTTGATATATCTCTTTTCTGAATATGGCAGAGTCTTCAAAAAAGACAAGTCATCATTTTAACTTGCAAACGTGAATAATTCTGGACACACATGGATTTGAAGGCTCAAATTTAACAGTGAGCTGTGAACACTAATACTGATTGGCTTAGCTCGAAAGTCCCAGTTTTTGAGGCCAAGGTACGATTGGTCAAACCGATGGAAACCATTCACTTAATATACCAGCAAAGCATACATTAATATCAAAATACCTTTGTCCTCTTTGTCTACTGATTTATCAGTCATGGTGGACAACATTTCGGATGACGGAGGTTTAGGGAAGTCACCCCATTCCCAGGTGGCAGTGTCCTCTAACAGAATAGATTGCTGAGCTATCTCCACACGCTGTCTGTCAACTTCTGTATCACTGACTGGGCTTGGTGGTCTTGAAGCTTGTGGACTGGAAATACAAAGGAACATGAGTTATTCAGCCTGCTTCCCTGCACCTTCTACTGGTAGCAGGATCCTCTATCCAATCAACAACTGGTAGATAGGATGCTCGTGAAGCTAAGACCTTATCCTTCCATGATTTCAAAATAAATTGAGCTCTTACCTACAAATGGGAGATATCTCAGGGTCACTTAATGGATGAACAAACGACGTTTTTCTCCACCCGATTCCAACAGTGTCGTCATACTCCAACACAGGAAAAGTCATACTTTTGGAAAGTTTCACAACTTCCTCTTCCTCGGACGATGTTTCTGACACTTCCATATCGAATATTCCATCCCCTTCTGGCATAGACGCAGACATGACCCGCGGGGACGATTTCCCCCCAACTTTCTTCTTCTTCAAAACTTTCTTACGAAGTGGTTTTGGTTTTTCTTCCTCTTTGTTTTCGTCCACAGAACTGTCACTTTTCATATCCTTCAACAAAATACTCATGGCTGACTTGAAATCGTCTGCTGATTGGTCTAAAGTTACCTCCCCTTGTGATATAGAGGTTGTCGTGGTAACGCTGGGTGTGCTGGTGACTGTTCCAGTCCCTCCCTTCATCTCTTTGATTCCCTCTTCCATAAGTTCCAGAGACGAAGGGATAGGAGATGTAGCCAAGTGGGGAGGAACTTCCTGAAAAGAAAGGACAAAAACATCATAAGTACAGGTTGGTGGCATTTGTTTGGTTCCAGATGCCACAGACTAAGTAAGGCTTGACACAAGGGGTCTTTGGACAGCCAAGGGCTTTAACTCCAACCCAGACTCTCTGATCAATATAATAGCTATAAATGTGCTGTATAGGCGTTTAAAAATTCCTACTTAAGAAACTAAGTGTTACCTCATCAACTTCCTGAACAAAGAAAGCTTCCCCAGCTTCTCCTAGCTTCATGTGTATATCAGCTGGTATACCATTGATTTCAATATCAACCTGTAATAAAGAAGAGATGGATGAGGTGGATGAATGGAAGACAGATGGATGGATGGATGGGCTTGACCTTAAGCACATAGCATTCATAATCACATAAATTTTGGAGGAGCCCTTAGATCCACAATTACAACTACTACTTCACCGTACGTATGAAATCCACATAATTTAAACACTCTGACACAATGAGCTACAGCCACCCAAAAATGAACACAATCTTACCAATTTTTCTCTGGCTCGTATGACGCCCATTTTTCCAAAACGGACGTGAAACGGGGAGCTGGCGAATGTTCCATCTTCTTGTTCTGTGATGATCACATCTATAGCCCCAGTTAATGTGGCTGAATTAATTTCATTGTAAAATCCTCTAACGTTGGAAAAGAGTCGACCGAATAATCCACTCATGCTGATTGGTCAATAACTAGGTCAGCAAAGGTTAGGGTTCAATGTTCCAAAATTTTGAAGTTTTCCATTTCTGAAATGATAAAATTTTGAACACATAAGTGGACATTAATTTTCTACTTTATTAGTGTATGCTTTGAATCTTAAGATCTTGAAACCAAGTCAAGTTTTTCACCAACCAATCAAAGACTTTCTGACCTATATCAGAATAAAGAATAGCCCTCGACAAGGTCTTTAATATTTCATAGACTTGTGTAGAAACAAACAGTCAGTTGTAATGGTGATATCTCGCTCATACACTGTATAATAAATCAATACATCGTCTCATATTATTGCTAACTTTTAAAAGCTATAGCTACACTAATTCTAATGAAATGAATGGAGTTTTACATCCTACTCTTCTGCACCTGAAAAGCCTGTAGCACGCAGGGCCTTGGTATATTGTCCCATCCAAACAACCTTTTCCTTGTCAGCTCCCTCGATCTTCATCACTGACAAGGCAATTCTTTGGGAAATTACGTGACTATCCCAATAAAAATGTGCATGTCCTGCTAAACTGATAATAACAAATATACTACCATGACCAACAAATGGACCAATACACCACTACAATAGCAAGCTGGTGTTTAAACCACCAATCAGTTGACCTTCACAGAAACCTATAATCTAAACAATCAGATATAGAAATGTTTCATCATTTTTTGACATTACAGTCTAAGCTTACCACAACTAATAAGATTTCCTCGGTAGATACTAAATAACTGTATTGATTAGTAAAGAACTAATGTAGGAAGAGGTAAAAATAGAAATGATGTCACATGTAAACTATATTTACCATCAGGTTTCAAAGTTTAATATAGAAATAAATATCATAAAAATTGACTGCAATTTGACCCCAATAATTAAAAAAGACTCCAATAATTAAAAGAGAGCGGCATCTTCACAATGTTGAACTATTATTCAACAACTATGTCTTATACCTTGACTGCAATAGCCACCTTTCATTAGTCTAATTATGAAATATTATAATGAAGAAGCTATAATTCAGTAAGTAGGCTTCTTGGTTATCAAATCTTGACCTTATCTAAATCAATCTTTAAACTGATACACCAGTTGTCAAGATGTAATTAGACTATATCCTGTGATTAAGGTTCTCATCCCACAGTGATCTTTGTATATATATGTATCAAAGTATCAAACACATTTTCATTTAGACTGATTCAAATAATTCAAGATGGTAAATTTTGCTATCATATTGTCAAATATCAGTAAAAGGGTGACACTTTTTGATTCAATTGGCAATCTAATTTGCCAACAGATGGGTCCCAATCTTATCTACTAATAATCTTGATACTTTTCAGAATGAAATTTGATTTAAGGTTAATACACAATTAAATATAAAACAAATTGTTATTGTTAACTACAGTTGATAATCACAATAATTAGAGGGATTAATACCTTGAATTTGTTATCCATTGTTAGATGATGAATATTTATATTACAAAATCCCTTTTATATCTCTCTCCCATTGTGTACTAATCAAATAAATCTACTTCATTAACAAAACCTTAACCCTTTGTCACTGGTGAACAAGTGTAATCATTATCTGTTAACAGGTCTACATTAGGGTCCTGAAAGGGTTAAACTTGTTAAACTGGATGTAAACTAGGGAGTAAAATAACTGACAATTTATCCACAACAGCACAGATCAAGGGTAGAAACTATGTCATAAACTGTTAATACATCTACATTTCCTAAGGGCCCTTGATAAACTGGATGTAAGTGAAGGGAGTAGAAAGGCTGACAGCTTATCCATAATAGCACTGAGCAAGCACAGAATTCATGTGTATATGCTGCAATTTTAAAACCTTCTAACCATTTATTCATACCCCCCTCCTCCTTTTAAGTAGCCCTGATAAATCAAAGCTTAAAAATGACCCATGACCTTACCTTAACTCAACTCTAATTTCTAAATTGATTATTATACTAATGATATAAATATAGTCACCTATTGACACCTTTTCCTCACCCCACACTCACTACCCCCCAGACATAATCAAACTTAAAAAATGACCCATGACCTTACCTTAAATGAACTCTTATTCATAAATTATTATACTAATGATATAAATACAATCAATGTATAAAGGGAATATTGACAAGTCATGTGACAGCTGTGGAGATATAGTAAGATAATACCTGGATTTTCATTGGTTAATATCTATATCATGCCATGTCACTCAACCGCGTCTGTAACAGTCATACGGCCGAGTAAAAAATGTCCTCAGTGATTTGATAGCCTAACAATTATGAAAGGAAAGGAAATATATTAAGTTAACACACCTTATCAGGCTGATGTAACAAACTATAATTCAACATCCGGCTTATCTACACCTGATTTGGAAAAAGAAAATTCAACATAGAATGCAAATAACCTAAAGACAAAAATTATAGCCGAGCATTTCAAAGCCTTTTTCAGACATAACTGGCAAAGTTATGTTGTGTTTTCCAACCCTGTTTCATTCTAAATGCACATTGGATGGATGGGAAAATAAATCGAGGCCCTGTGTGCTACACACTGTGTACATTAAAGATCCCTCGACCTTTGGAAATCGATAAAGAGTTGGCTAATACCAATGTCTTGGCAAAATTTCCATCATTGCATACTGAATGACATTACCTGTCTTCATTAGCCCATTAGTTGCAGAGAAAAGGGAGTAAAACTCCATTTATTTCATTTTTTGTCCCAACTATTATAAAGCTATTAGGCACATGGCTGTTAAGTTACCGGTATATTAAATAAAGACAAATTGTTTCATCACCATAGTTGGCTGGTTACCAAGTAGACTTTACACTTTCACATACCTAACCTAACACTCTAGCCAAATACCTCCAGCGATTTATCAAGCTAATATCATTACTTCATAGATATTACATGATATTTACTTAATACTGCGTAAAATACTCAATTCTACAAGTAAACACAGTGTTAATAGTGGATTAAGCAATTTAGCCTTGTTTGGAAACTAATTAACCGACATATTCACAATGTCAAGCTATTACAAACTTCATCTTCACAATGTCAAGCTATTACTAACTTCATCTTCACAATGTCAAGCTATTACAAACTTCATCTTCACAATGTCAAGCTATTACAAACTTCATCTTCACAATGTCAAGCTATTACAAACTTCATCTTCACAATGTCAAGCTATTACAAACTTCATCTTCACAATGTCAAGCTATTACAAACTTCATCTTCACAATGTCAAGCTATTACAAACTTCATCTTCACAATGTCAAGCTATTACCAACTTCATCTTCACAATGTCAAGCTATTACAAACTTTATCTTCACAATGTCAAGCTATTACCAACTTCATCTTCACAATGTCAAGCTATTACAAACTTCATCTTCACAATGTCAAGCTATTACCAACTCCATCTTCACAATGTCAAGCTATTACCAACTCCATCTTCACAATGTCAAGCTATTACAAACTTCATCTTCACAATTTCAAGCTATTACAAACTTTGTAGTATATATTGAATGCTTTCCAATAGCTTAACATTGTGAAGATAATTATCTGACTGGTTCAGTATATCTGGAATCAAATGACATGATGTAAAGATAGCTACACTCTGATCAAGTGAGCTACAGCCCTCCTACATACTCCCAGCTAGAGTACAACATAAAAGAATGTGCACTAAAAATAATACAATGAAATTAGATCACAGTAGCAACGCAATAACTGAAATGTCAAACAGCCATTTTTTATAGCCTATTTTTCTATGAATGGAAATATAGACCACAGTGGGTATTCTAGATTTCCCAGGTTAAACTGTACTGTAGACTTCTGATGAATCAATTACAGTTCTATATCAGTGGTTAGGGTGGTTGAAAGGTATCAAGTTACTATTCAATAGGCACTTGCATTAGCACAGGGTTAAAGCAGTGTTGAGGTGTATTGAGATAAGTTTTAATGAAAGCACTGGCCTAGGTCACAGAGTAATAAGATAAGCTTATTGTTGAATACTGGTATGTGAAAATAAATATTGGTACGGTACCAAGACTTATTAAAAGAATCTCTTCGGCAATATCAAAATAAAATTCGATTAAAAGCACAGGCCAAGTCTCCACTGAATCAAAGAAGATGACCCAAGACACAATAAGGTGAGAGGAAAAATGTTGGAAATATTTCAAAACACCTTGAAAACAAACACTGTTAACTCACAAAACGTGTTGAGATGAAATGAAGGGTGAACTCAGCTTTGTTTACCGCTGTTTACATTCGGAGCTTAGCTTTGTTTACTTAATGTTTACATACAATTCAGGGAGTATCTTCTACAGTGATTTAACATTCTACAAGTTCAATAAAATTCGATAAAAGTTGGCACAAGTGACATTTCTATGCAAATCAAAGCCTATGATCCTACAGAACAGATTCACATTTTAATAAATTGTCACAAACAACAAATTGGATTGAGGATGCAGACCATAAAACTTTACAATAAACAAACTTTCTGTCAACAGTGGAGTTCAACTATTCAAGACTACAACAGGCTTTGTTTATTTTTGCATTTAGCCCATTGTTGTTAAACAAAATGACCTTTGAACTTTTCAAAGTAACAAAAGAAACAGTTACCAAAATTCAAACTGAAACAAATGAGTGAAAGACTGACATGTGAGTGAGCAATAGATTTAGGAAAAAAAACGACTGCGGTCCTGCGGGAAAGTCTTGGGTAAACTTGAATAGCTTAACTTTTGTCAATATACCAGTCTACCCAGACATCTAACCTGACCACAGTATCTAAGAAACATAGTGATCAAAGAGAGTGGGGGTCTTTGAGGCTAAGGTCCAGTGCCCTGGAGAGAAAGGAATGGTGCAGAGGGGGTAGGGGACCCATCATAATAAGTCAATTGCCAAGTCAAAGGGATGATTAATACTCTTGGTTGGGGTAGCAATGCCAACAATCCTGCAAGTCCTGGACATTGTATTTGAGCATCTCTTCAGAGCAAGCCACCTTCACAAACTCGTCCACGTTTTATTTATATTTTGTTCAATACTTTACATAACTACACTCAGACATGGCTGTGGTCTGAAACCGTCACAACACAGCTTGACAGCAAAATAACGACACAAAACATGGCAAATTTCAGCCGACAGACGAAACTTACCAGACTTTTGACTAGAATTTTGGGCTGGACGTGTACTCAATGACTCCGACTTTCAGGATATCCAATGGCAAACCGGTTAAAATTCACAAAATGCACAAAAATTAGTAAAAATCTTCAAGAATATTGCCTTCTAACTTGCTTGAAAATTAAAATGAGTCGAATCAGCTGATCACGTGACTTGGGGTCAAATATTATGAGAGAGAATGGTGACCTCTGAATGCAGCGTTTTGATTGGCTGAAAAAGAGGTTCACAAATTCCCCGACGTTTATAGTAAACTTTTCACCGTTTTGAGGCCAAAAATAGAACTGTGTGGCCTTATTTTGTTAAATGACAAATAGACACGCTTTAAAAATGATTGAGAAAGAAACTTGAGTACTCTACGCTATATTGAACAGGTCTAATTAAATAAATAAGTCTACCACCACAAAAACACGGAGGCCTACAGAGGACGGAGGCTCGGTAGAAAAAAAAAGGGGGGGGGGGGGGGTCTGGACATTCTATTATTATGACTAAGGTTTCATTTTGAGGGTTTAAATATACAGCTAACACGATTATTAGGCGGAGGGGTGCACAAAATTGTCAAAGGGGACAAATAATACCCCCACCCCCTTTCACATCCTCAGTGGAAACGCCACTTCAAGCGACATAACAAGCCTCTATAATGGTCGCATGATGCATAGCCTGATGAAAAATCCCCTTTTATTTCCGCGTTGACAAACCGGATTTCACACTTTTATGATCACACCATCGGGAAAACGTGGTCAAATTGACACCTACCATCTACTTGTCAACTCACTGGGACATTAGCCTGGGACGAGTGAGGTAGAGGTGGGGGTTGCGCTATGGCCGTAACGAAAGAACATCCACAAAATGCTGGCTTAACGCCCTATTCCTGCATTTGCGTTGGATTTCTTAGATGGATGTAAAATTCCATTCCAGTTAAGGCTCACGTGTGTGATGGCTAGTCCAAGATGGATCCAAGTACGACCTCAACACAGTTAGGGGTAGGTATATCATTTCAAGAATATTTATCATAAGGGCCTTGACTTACTAACCGTTTTTCTTGAACTGTTATATGACCTCTGTGAAACACTTAAATAAATTCTTGAGTAGCTAACGACAAGGTCAAGATAGATTAGTTTCTTTGTTTGGTTCTCAAAATTCCATTAGGCCTACACAGAAACGTATTACGTAAAACTCATTTTATTTCATATAGTCTTCAAAATCCCATTAGGTCTAATTGTAAAACGGGTTACCTTGTGGGTAAAATCCCATAAGATCTATTCAAATGGAAGTTTGCTTCTATATAGTGTAACAATGATGTCCCAGAATTTTTCATATAGCAAAGAAATATATTATGCAACAGGGCATTTCATTTGTTGAAATATAACAGGAGATGCACAAAAAGTTCATTAGATCATGCATGGTAAGTGAAGTCGCGCCCAGGAGAGAATCAAACGAAACATTCAGATTTGCATCTGCACTTTTAGACAGAAATGAAAATGAAAGCCACTTGCAAAGTTGTAATATAGAAGTATTCAAATAAAACCTAAAACGTGTCGCACAGTGTGAAACTCTGGGAACTAACATGTTTCAGGTTCTGTTTTAATACTTCTAATAGTCACATTAGGATAAATACGGGTATTTTCTATATTATATCACATGAGCTATTGGATCAATACGATACAACCTTGAAATCGATCTGATAACATCACGTTACCAAAACGTAAAGATAAACAACTACTTATGACTCGCACTAAAATAATTCGGTTATAATCGATAACAAAACAAAATATTTTCTTGAATTGATCATATTCGTGTTTATTCTCGTTTCTTATGTAACCTTTGAAGAAATCAACCTTTTTCGTTGTAGCACTCCGAAATAGAGCAATGACGGAATTAGATGCTGAAAACTGTGATGTATTGTATTGAGGCTCTCTAATATTCATTTTGGTGAGGCGGGGATTAAGTCCTTCGGATGCAAGCCGATAATATCTGCTTATTGGCTGTACAAGAAAGAAATTTTATGTGGTCCGTAGTAATTTCATTTCAGGTAGAGTTGCCTCCCATGGTAAAGTGCTAAAAAATGATTTTGTCCACTGTCCAGCAAGCAAGACGAGTTAACTCCCATTTAAATTCAGACATTCCATTGATTATCAAAAAATAATGCATTTTAGAAATAACAAACATATATTTTCATGATTTTTGCTAACTTTCAGTTTCATTCAACGTTTTATAAAGATGTAGAAGTTGTGTCTAAAATCCAAATCGAGAGTTTAGACGCATCCATGTTTATTTACATTTTTCCAAGATGGTGGCTTTGTGAGATTGTAATCTCTAAAAATAGAAAAACGAGCTCTTGCCAGGTAACGATGACTTAGCATTTTAAAATGTTGTCAATATTTGCTTATATGAAAGTTACCCCACAATTACGTAATCTTTTCAAAACTGCAATTTCACATTTAACGCATTTAGAGGCCATTTGTAGTAAAAAAAATTCATCGTCATTATTTGCAGTCTATATGCACTGCATTCTATCTTACAACATAAGACTAGTAGAGTAGTAGATTAGGCTAATAAACAGTGCCAGATGTGATGACTCAGTAGTGTTTGAGCAAATGGTTTTGTCCACGCTGTATGCATGTTGAATGTAAATGAGTACAGGCTTTGCATGCATAATGATTAAGGGTTTTTGTTATGGTCGAACTAATTTACATAAAAATAATTGGGTGTAACACTAAGTGGAAAGGCTTATTGGCTCACTGGTGGAACATAAAAGGAACAAACACAACAAAATTTTTAGTCAGCCAACTAGTAGGCCTACACTGAAATAGCTTATTTGTCTACTGTTAGCAGCTGGTTTGAATCTTAGAAACAGGTAATGCATTTTGCTGGCACTTGTGGCAGTGGAACAGCTCAGTCAGTGGGGAGTTAGATTGTCATCTGCTAGGAGCTTAAGTGATGTGGGTTTGAAGCCTCTTCAAGTAGTAGTTTGATAGCTCAGTCTCTAGCCAGTTAGATGGTCTTCTGTTTAGGTGCCTTAGTCTTGGTTAAAAATAATTCTGATGCCTCAGCCAGCGCTTTGAAGAGTTGGCACAGTGTCAGCTATCAAACCCTATCACCTTAATCCAATGACATGCATTTTATTTCCAGTTCTTGGCTAATACTAAATAATTATCTCTTATGATTTTAGAAGTGTCAATAAAGTAAGCTAGCTGAGTAGCTGTTAGATAAGATAAGAATAAAACAACAGGATTACTTCGATAAAGGTAGAGTGTTGTTTTTATTCAAACAGCTAAGAGTACAGTTAAGTTTGGCTTCTTGGAATTAAAAGAACCACACACATCTGACGTATGACTGAAAATTTGAATGGTGCAAATTGATGAAATCAGTGTCCTGATACACATAAAAAATTCCAAATTTTCTTCAATACCATTCTATTTTAAAGGTGAAACAACTCTGATATCATATATTAAATATGGGGTTACTGACTGAAGGAACAGCCTTGTCCTGGGAAGAAACCAAGAAACAGGCTGACCACGTTCGGAAACACGGAATACAACAATTTATTTACCAGTACCATAAATGTAAAGATTTAGAAAAGGAATGCTTATATTGGGGAGATGAGGTAAGACATTAAAGTGTAATGAATGGACAACGCGTTGCAGTGTGTAATGAGGGAAATTTTGTCAGGTCAGCCACATCAGCCTACCCTTTTTGGATTCATATTGTCGAGGGAACTTTAACGTGCACAGTCTGTAGTCTGTAGGACCTCGGTTTATTGTCCCAGCAGAAGGACTAGGCCATTTTCCATGACAGTCCCCCCGACCTGCATTACTGCCTGGAGGAAACTGGGTTGAAAAATCTGAAGGCATCATTTTGCAGGGATTGAACACTGTTATTGTGTATTGTAGGTGGAGTATATGTTAGTCAAGCTAGATAAAGCCAATAAACAATGTAGATTAGTTCTTAAAGCTAAAGAAGTCCTGAAGAAATTACAGAAAAGAGAACTTGAATGTCCAAAGTAAGTTGAAAAGAATTCTGGTTTTTGATGTATCTAAAGATCTTATTAAAATCATTTGATACCCTTGAAAGGAACTAAACATGGTATTCAATCCAAGACAACTTGCTACCAATTGAACAAAATCACCACGACATATTCCACTGCCCTTTCTAACTGTCTTGCACCGCAATCTGGCTCCCCGGCTCACCAACATTGCCAATGTTTTCAAAGAAAGATATGTCTTTCAGTGATCATCCATCAACCTGGAGACCAGAGTATGCTGAATATATGGTAGAAGGTACCCCAGGAAAACCTTACGGAGGTCTCATGGCTCATTTTAACATGGTGGAAGCTAATATGAAACTAAGGTTTGTTCAGTTTTCATTGAAATAGCAGGCATACCAGTTCTGATATGTGTGATGCACACGACAGTTTTCGGTAAAGGAGGTAAAAACGTCCCAGTAAATCTTGGCCCCTGAGAGCTACCAATGTAAATATAAATTGGATTTATCTCCCTTCGATTGATTTCGTTACAGACGTGAAGAAATCCAGAAATTACTAGCTTATGATGAAGTTCCTCTTTCACTGACAGCTTTTCCCAGGTATGTAAGCTTATATCACACAAGGACCTTTGCGATAGTGCATTCTAAAACCCTTAGCTTTAGTGGAATTGGAACCTAAGAAGTCTGATTGAAAATTGAAATGGTGCCATCTATGTTATCAGAGTCCCTGATATATATATAAGGTTTAGAAAAACTTCTTCACAATCAATATAAGAATGATGTTTGCTATTTCAGAATAGGATGTGAAAATTTCACGTCCCCAGCGTTAAAACCCACCCCAGAGAAAGGTTACAGTCATTCCTTGTTCTTTCCTGATGGTGCCATCAACCAAGGTCATCCCAGATTTCAGTGAGTCTCTCCTAGTTTATTTTTTTAGTTACAGATTTATGCTTACTGTATAATTGCACCACTTTTTAAATAAATACACAATTAATTAACAGAATTTCCCTCATTGCCAACAGCTTAGTATTGTATACTTAAGTAGGTTTGTTCAAACATTCTAAACAGTAGAATGTGAAACTACAAATGAATTTGTTTTATATCCAAAGTTTCATTTATTTTCAGTACTTTAACTAGAAATATTCGAGAGAGAAGGGGGAAAAAGGTGGCAATTAATATTCCAAGTAAGTACTCTGATTGGCTGTATAACTTAACATACAATCCAATCAAATTACTGCTCTTCGATACTGCAAGAAAAATGCTTAAGGTATTGTAATCAATTTGCAGTAAACGATTGGTGAGTAACAACATGTTTCAATTTTAGTTATAATTTTTCTATTTCAGTTTATAAAGACAAAAATACGAAAGTGCCATTTAAAGAAGATCTGAGCCAGTATGGAGATGATGGAACTTCCCAATCAGCTGCCCTGACTGATCATGTCTACTTGGACGCCATGGGGTTTGGTATGGGCGCTTCCTGCTTACAGGTCACTTTCCAGGCCTGTAATATTAACGAGGGAAGACAACTCTATGACCAGCTCGCTCCCCTTTGTCCCATATTGGTGAGTTAGAATTGACACCTTTTTGTCTCTAAAAATACTTTGTTAGATTCAATAAAGATACAATATAATGTTAATATCATAAAAAAAGACTGGATAATAGGAAAAGGACTTACTAAATATACCAAATTCAAATATACTTGTTAAAAAATCTACAAAATTTCAGACTTGATAATCAAATCTATCTACGCTTCTTCATGAATGTATCTTCATACAAAAGATAGACAGTAAAGGCATTGTAGTTGGCATGTACCCAACTCTCGCCGTAGCCTCCATCAACCAGCATTACGTAGACTTGATCACCGAATTCCAGAGGGGTAACAGTCTGTATACTGCTTGATGGATAGAATCCTACGTTTTTATTGTCGTCTGCCCAGAGAGCTGCGATTGGTCGATTGTTGATAAAGATACGTGCATTGACCTTTGCCCCAGGATGTGACATCAGATACAAAGATACGACATATGTCCCGGGGATCGTGCATATAAAAATACCGGTGCCGTTATCGTAGTTGTCACCCAGATCCAGCAGCACGAGGTCAAAGGGTACAATGGTGTCTTTGGCTGGTCCAAAATGGTTCGTAAGGACTGTGGATAAGGCAGCTTGCATGGGAATACTTGATAATGATCCATCCCCTGGTTCCCCTTTTGGGCCTCGGTCTCCCTTGTCTCCCTTTGGTCCTTGATTTGGATTTGTTGGGTTCTTCTTCATGGGCTTGGGATTGTTCCCTGTAAATACACAAAACATACATTCTTCAGTTTAATTGCTATATCATATTTTAAAAGACTTCTGATTTATGCTGGAAACAAGCTTAGTAAGCTAAAAGCATGGATTAAGCACTTCTTAGCACCCACAAGCAATTGGTTAAGGATTTAGAGCAATAATATAATATGAAAATGAACTGTGTTAAGACATCTTACCTTTACTCTTTGTTTTGCTATTTTTTACCATTTTCTTCTCCGCCACTTTTTTCACCTTTATTGAATTTTTGGTAGGTTTGGCACTTTTCTTTTTGGGCTTAGCAGCTAGTTTAGCGTCTTTTTGTACTTTCTCAGTTTTCTGTTTCTTTGCATCATCGCCTTTCTTATCTGACCTTTTCTTGGATTCTTTATCTTTGTGATCTTTGGCATCATCTAAGTTTTCATGATCATCTTCAGCACCTTCAATGCTTTCATCATCATCATCATCATCATCATCATCATCATCATCATCAACTAAGTCTTCAGGGTCATCATCAGTGTCTTCAATACTTGCATCTTCATCAGTAGTAGCATCATCATCATGTTCTTCATTGCTACCATCATCAGAATCAGCGCTGTCAACAACAGCAGCATCACCATTATCTTTTTCTTCTGACACCACTTTCACTGTATCTTTGATAGGTTTATCAATCTTTTCTGATTTCTTCACATTCTTACCGAAGTAAGGCTTCCACACACTCAGGGGATCTTTACCAGGCATGGCATAAATTTGTATAATGGTAAAAACAAGAAAGACAGCTAGGATGAATTTCATGTCAGTCTTCATCTCTGTTCATTCCTGAAAGTAAATGGACAAGGAATTGAAAAATGTTATTAGTGTTGAATGAAAAGTCCACATCAAACCACGGTAACTCATGGAGGAACAATGTGTAGCTAGTTGAAGGATTAAAATACTTGTGATTGATATACTTCCTCATGTGAAAAGTTCATTAGCTGCTACCTATGTTTTGCCAAAATGTTGCTTCAGATTTCCAGTTTCGTTTGCAGTACTTGGTTTAATTATTATCAAGTATAGAATTAGAGATTATAATTACCTTTTGACTGTTCCTCTGAATTCTGTTACAATCCCCTGGTTAATGAATAACAGTTGTTACAAGTTGAAGAAAAAAACAATGGAGTTGAAATGTTTAAAGATGAAAGACAATGAATGATAGAAACTCACGAACTATTGGAGATTCATTCCCCCACCATATCCGACAGTTTAAAGCTACTTTGGTTCACACTTTTTGATAGGTGCAGTAAAGGCCTTTTTGATTTTCAACCTCTCCTTAGCTTCTATTTAAAGCATTAAAAAAATATTCCTAATTGACAATACCAAACATTGAACAAATATTAGCTCTACAAAAGGGGAGCTAAGTCAACATATCCATTACAGAGTGACTAAGGTGGCACTCAATTGTTGAGTTCACAGGTTTCATTGAATCAACTGGAATTTCATTAAAACAAGTTGGAACAGCATGTGTTCCTTGGGACTTGAATGAAAAGTAAGTGTAGACAGGAATGAAGTGTGGTCTGTAGCCAACTCGACAGGGATTAAGTGTGGTCTGTAGGATGTCTGAACTATAGTGATGTTAATGTTGATTAATGTCTATGATCAATACACTGTTTGTTTATTTGTTGATCCTCATCTGACTTGTTGTCTTGTTGTATTGACACTTGTTATTGATTTCTACCTCCATATCCAACTTTATACCTCACTTGTCAACATTCTAAATACACATCTCATCAGACCTTTGATTCTTAACATATCTCATCATCAAAATTATCTTACATATCTCAACAGAGGCATTTCTAGGAAACATTAGGTTAGGGGGCCGAGCAGGGGCCACAAAACTTTCCAGGGAGGACCACAGGCAATTCTAGGGGGGCCGAAGCCTAATCATGGCTGCCCTTGCAAAGAACATTCTAAGTGGCATCACATACCATTCCACTGACTAAGATTATAGTACACCACTGTATTTATTATTTCAGCTGGCGTTAAGTGCTGCCTCACCAATATACCGAGGCTACCTGACTGATATAGACAATAGGTGGACAGTTATAGCTCAGTCTGTAGATGATAGGACTGATGAAGAACTTGGATTAAAGGTATTGTAATGCTTCTCATCAGAACTATTAATATGGAGGGGCATCTATGTCAGAATTCAGTGCTATTTATCTGTAATATGGAAGGGTATCTATGCCAAAATTAGGAAACCCTTGAGTGAAATTTATTTATTTATTTGTAGGAATTAAAGGAGAATAAATTCAGAATAAAGAAATCTCGCTATGATTCTATAGATAGTTATTTATCTCCACAAGGTCAGTGTTATAATGACATTGACCTTGTCTATGATCAAGATCTTTACGATGATTTACGCAAGGGAGGTAAGTCACTAGAGTTTCTTGGTGCTTTACATTGGTGGACAATTGAGACTAGTCACATGTGTTGGGCCTTGATGATCCTAATTCCCAATTTGGTATTGCCTAATTGTTCAAGTCCAATGAATAGGGATGCTTTGCCAGAATTGGTTATAATTCAAATATTAAAAGGCAGATAACTCTGCTGGTGATTCTGGATGAGCTCTAATGGATTTCCTTATCTTTTTTTCTAGATGTAGATGATCTGTTGGCAAAACATATGTCTCATTTGTTTATCAGAGACCCAGTTTCACTATTCAGTGAAAAAATCAACCAAATTGATGAGGAAGAAATGGATCATTTTGAGGTAGATGATCTTCATTCTTGCTGGAAAACAAGGAGTCCTTTTTCCAAAAAATCAGACTTTGTGTGGGATTTTACAGAGAGGAATATTACAAAAAAGAAAACTCATTTTTTCACAAATGTTTTGAACAATTTTGTGGTTATTTTTTTTCAGAATATTCAATCAACCAACTGGCAGACTATGAGATTTAAACCTCCGCCTCCAAACTCTCCCATTGGCTGGAGAGTAGAATTCCGACCAATGGAGGTACAGTATTTTCAATTCACCTCTCAACCTTGGTTGAAGGGATTACCGTAACACGAGGTCAACTCTCTTTATCAAATTTATTGATTGCAGAAAAAGCTGATGTCCAAACGTGGTTTTGAATTAAGAGACATTTGATGAGAGGGAGTGAATGAAGCTATTTATTGATGCTATCTGTGTCCATGATTCACATCAAAAGTTTAGAAAACCTTTTTACAATGCCTTTAAGTTATAATCTTTATTGTTTTTAGGTTCAGTTGTCAGATTTTGAGAATGCTGCCTATGTTACGTTTATTGTACTACTTACCAGAGTTATCCTTACCTATAAACTCAATCTTATTATACCCATCTCTAAGGTAGGACCTTCAACTTACTTTTGGGGAATGCCAGCCAGTCATGCTTAATGCAAACTCAAATGTCTGACAGTCCTTATGGTGAGCAGGACTGTCTAACCTTAAACTGGACACCACCATAGTTTCAAACATTTTGTTTCTGAAGGTTCCCTAGAATGGTCATCAGGTGGATGCAATAAGAAAGGCAGAACATGCTCAACTACCAGAACTACTTTATGCTAATCTCCCTTTTATCGAGTCCAGAAGGCTACTTTAATATGTTGAATCTTTTATTAGGCAACACTATTTTACAGGTTGATGAAAATATGAAAACAGCTTTTAAAAGAGATGCTGTTTTGAATGAAAAATTTTATTTTAGAAAAGATTTCTTTACTGGTATGTGTTGCTTTTGTTTTTTCATTTCTGTTACATTTTGCCACAGGAAACTTGGGTCTGACAATGGGCATATCTGTGTCTGGCAGTGAGCCAACTTGAGCATGACAAAGGGCCAAATGACAGTGATCCAAGAAATGATTGCCCAAAATGAAGAACCAAGAAACTGGGATATTTATAGCAAGTCTTTTTTTAAATCTAGAATCATGGCCACCATCAGGAGAATATTGTGATAAGAAGAAATGTGATAAAATAGAAGATGAGTATGAGCTGATGACTGTGGACGAAATTTTCAATGGAAAGGTGGGTAATGGATACAAATCAATCCTGGCAAAATTTCCCTCAGTCCATAAGGTGCTTAAAAGAAGGACGTAAAACTCCATCCATTTCATCATTTTTGTTGGAAGTTCGCAGAGTTTATGACTCCTTAACGGAACAATCTACGAAAACGTTCAATCCATTTTTCTTTTCAGGGTGAATCACCTGGATTATTAGGTGTAATTAAACATTATATAACAGAAGTTGAATGTGACGTTGATACACAGTGTACAGTCTTACAGTATCTTAAATTAATATCTAAACGAGCTTCAGGTACGTTCTTAAATAGAGTTATCTCCCTTGAAATATTGGTGATGACATCACATTAAGGTGGGGCTCGAATGGAGAGTTCTGAACATGTTCCAATTCTTGCATCAATCGAACGGTACAGAAGTGGGTGCTACATTTAAAAAAATTTTCCTCCTATTCCTCTCTCGGCCATGTTGAATTTCTAAACCCTGTTCCAACTTGTCTTATTGAACCTCTGGCACATTTCTGCTTTTCAAAGCTGATAATTTCTCAATTTTTCTTGCAGGTGAACTCCAGACCACATCGAAATGGATGAGAAATTTTGTCACGTCCCATCCTGATTACAAACAAGATTCACGTGTCTCAGAATCCATAGTTTATGATCTTCTGGAGAAATGTGACAAGATCAGTAAATATGAACTGGAAGTACCAGAATTATTAATTCCTCCAAAATCAAAATCAGCAGAAGCCATTCCAGAAGCTATCTCAGCTGCCTATAAACTAATCGACGACAAAAAAAATTCTATCATCGCTAACGGACACTAGAAAAAGAGCAGTGGCGGAGCCAAAGGGGGGGCAGAGGGGTTCCCTGCCCTCCCTCACAGCCCAAAAGGCATGTTTTTCGGGCAAAAATATCATAACTTGGTAAGAAATTCGGGCAACCTCAGGTAATTCGTCCCCCCCCCCTCGGACATATACCTGGCTCCGCCACTGAAACGATCAAAAATCTAATTATGGTCTGAATTATTAAGAAATAAATAAAAAAATCTATGAAATACTCAAATCAGGTTTAATTTTTCTAATTTTTTTTTCATTTTATTTTTTTCATGGTGGGAATATAGATTATAATTATTTACATGTAGCACACGGGAAAAAGGGGTTTTAATATTATGCAGTTTAGTTAATATAAGATCAAACTGAGGTTAAATCAGGTCATCAGTGAAGGTCAAAAGGTTATTGGAATGAATGTTCAAGAGGGCCGTAGTTAGATCCTGACTGTAGTGGATACATTAAAAATATAACTAATAATAAAGGAAGGAAACTTTAGTTTTAATTAGACTATATATTAAGGTAATTATTCAGAGTCTGATTAAAAATTGAAATGGTGTAAATTGATGCTATCAGTTTCCCTGATACACATACAAAATTTAGAAAACCTCATTACAATCTCTTTAATATACATATATATTCACTTGCACATTGATGTAAACACATCTGCACCTAGTTATTATATACTGGACTGCCATTATGTTCTATTTTTCCCATTGTACATTTTAAATATCATTTTGTATTTGTATATTTTGATGCTAAACATGTGAGAATTTTATATATGGGGATATTAATTTAACTATTATTTAAATTTCTTCTTTAAATGGCATTTAGTAATTATAAGTAATATATATAGACACAGCTTTATGGAGTAACAATCACTGGTTAAATTTTATACAACGTTTTGACTTGCTCCTCCAGTGTCCTTAAGCACATCATGCTGGGCAAAAATTTATATACATTTGGACACTAATTATATTACAGAGAAATACATCAAAACTTTGCTTAAAATTGATTATTGCAATTGATTTAGCAATGAGTTGGGTTTGTTTAATTAAGTAGCAAAAGTCATTAGCTTTAATGTAGTTGCATTAAGAGAGCTTTTTATGCTGCCAAAATATGTTGTATACACTGTTATCATAGCTAATTATACAATATTATGTTATAAATTCATTTAGTATTGGCATTTAGTATTTATTATTCACTTGGCTCTATATATCCTAGACTTTAGTTTGTATTGTTATGAAATAGGGCACATGCATTAAAATGAATCTAGCTGCATTAGTGTCATTAGTCTAAACTGAAGGTACAATTATCTCATACCAGTGTTAAGGGATGTTTTGTGATGAAGTGGTGATAGAATTTGTTTAAGTGGGAGGCTGGGGTAAAATCTGATCAATTGTTGAAATATTTCTAATAAAATGTTTTAATTAAACTGTTTATATCATTTCATGAGGATCTCTCATTTTGATAATGTATCAGATATCAGATAACTACTTGTATTTTACCAACTTACTGGGAGAGGAGTTATAAATAATACATTGCCGTCCTTTTAAGTAGGTTTGATTACTTTAATGCAGGGGAGACTGGGGCTAAGTGAACATGGGATGAACTTCCAATATGGTGAATTTTGTCTACAAGAGGAGGATACACAATTTATTCAAAGTCAAATTAATTTACAGAGATAAATAGAATAAGTAGCAAGCTAGATATACACTTATAATAACAGAGAAATTCTCGTATGGTGTCAAAATCCCCTGATAACAAAGGGGTCAGGGGGTGAAAACTGACACCTGGTCGACTCCCGGAATCACTAAGTTATTCAATGGTTCAGTAACATAGTAACTTGTTACATTTCAACAACCCTAATCACTATCGATCTACACAAGAACACAAATGTCCCGAGCATACTTATAGTGACTAGCAGATATTGAAAAATTCAGCATTTTCCAGAACATCTTAGGTGCTCAACACATCTAAGGCACTTCCCAAATCGATGAAAGATCCCGTCAGTATAAAGTCTAATTAAAGGGTAAAGTTGTCCTAAACGATTCAGAGAAATCAACAAAAAGTCTTCCGTGACCATTTTTGCATCGTTGTTATAGGGTGTCTTTCAGACCCAAATCACAAATCCATCCTATTGAACAATTTTGTCTAATGTTGAATACAATGGAGTTTTGAATATACAAATCACAAACTAGCCTATGTTTAAGTCTTTTTAGTCTTTTTCTCCAACAATGACTTGGTTATTTTCTTTTTCTGAACGTCAGTGAACTTGAAAATTTGTATCATAGCTCGCATGTGGTCATCTTGGGCCTTATTGTCGGTGATATAATGAAAGAATGAATCCCGTAAAAACCTCAGAGTGGCTTCAGCTTCCGTTTCCGGTCGGTCCACTTCTTGATATGCCTCTTCTCGCCTTAATGACTGCCATTTTGCTAACTCTGATTGTGTTCTATTTAATTTCGCCAATAATTCCTTTGTATTGACCTCGGGAGTCGTGGACGTTTTCTTGAAAACTTTATCATTTACACTGCCAGCCATCTGCTCAATCTGGAAATGCAAATGAAGAATCCGTAGATTTCAGTAATATATGGCCTATATACGTCAAAATATTTGCAGCTTCAGGTGTCACAGTGATGTTATTTTGACTCCAGATAACGTCTATACTTTCTTATTTTGACGTGTTGAAGCAATGGAGATGTTATTTTGACGTTTGATGTCATGGAAACGACGTTATTTTGACGTTTGATGTCATGGAGACGTTATTTTGACGTTTAATGTCATGGAGACGTTATTTTGACGTTTGTCGTCATGGAGACATCGTTATTTAACGTTTGACGCCATGGAGACGTTGTAATTCTCCTGGCAATTTCTTACCTCTTCCTCTCGTTCATATCTAGCAGCGTCCTGCCCTTTTAGATACATTTCTAGGTACAGACCATCATTTTTACGATTCTGTTCTGCTATAGAATCCTGCAATAAAACGACACGTTTCCAGCAAACATATATTAACATTTTTCATTTCATTGATTTTGCTTCCAGGCCAATTTCTTTGATCTAGGTTTACAATTGGTGACATTCCCACGACCAAATGTCTCTTCTATTGAAATTCCATTATTAATAAGTTCACATTTATTAAGAAGAAAATCGATTTACTAACTGTTATAGCTTCTACACTAGTAGCCTAACGCTAGAAATTACCATAATATAATGTTAATTTATAGATTAATTCAAAGTTAAAATCGGCAAGGACTGCATATCATTTAACGTAGACCTACTATTTAACCTGGTGTTACCATTGAAAGTCAAAGTAGGTCAAACTCAATTGGTTTATTGCCTTCGTACGCTCAGATTATAATCGCTGATTGACTTTTGAAAGAAATTGATTCAAAAAATGGTCAAGGGATTAAACCATACGAAACTACTTATATATGGTCCTTACGGGAAATGTGTTATTTTTATCTTAAGGCATATAGTCTCGTGTGAGGATCAGCTGTCATAAGACGTCCAGTTGGGTTATAATTAGATAAAATTGCCAAAAATCATGTCTGAAAGAGTCTATTACACTACCTTTAAATCCTTCACGGTGGCTTCCAAATTGGTGACAGTTTTCACAGATTCCTCGTACGACCTCTTCAGTTCCTCGTATTTCGACTCCGTTTCATTTAGTTGCTTTCGCAATTTAGTAAGTTGGTCATCTTTGGCTGACAGTAAATCCCGAGACTCCTTACCAAGACCTTCCCGAAGCTGAGCTATCTCGGAATCTTTTTCATCCAAACGTATATTCAGATTCTTCATCTGTCTTTTCAGGTCCTTAATGGCGTGTTCTTTTCGTTGAAACGGCGTCAGATAGTCTAAAGGCGACTTCTCAGGCTCCAAGTGTTCATTATGAGCCTTTTCAATCCTCAAACGACTGGCAATTGTATCCCTAAGAACGGGGGTACCTGTTGGAGTTGTTAGCTGCTGGTGCGGAATCAAAAGACCTTCGTTGGAGTTCATATACAAATCCATTTTGGTTTCTTTAAGATTCCTTGCCGCACACACTGGCTTTGTATCTCCCATATCGATTGTTTCGCGCCTTGTGATGCTCGAACGACTAGAATTCTTTGAACCGGAACCCTTTTCATCAATGGATTGACTTCTCTGACATTTTGGAGTAGAACTGCTCTTTTGGCCCCCCTGTGCTTGTACAGCTGCATGATGACTTTCCTGGCTACATGTATGGGGATGTTTTCCTGACGATTTATCGGATCCTACGCCATTAGCTTCTGACTTGTCCAACTGTGTTATAATCTTTTCTGTTTCTTCCGATAGGTCGCCATTTTCTGAATCTTTAACAGGAGTACCATTTGCTAATTGCACATTTTGGGATTTGACGCCATCTTCAATCGGCTTGGTCTCCGTTTCTTTTTCACTTTTGGTTTTTTCTGTTCCGTTGTCGATTTTCTCTGCTACTTCATCCTCAGAGACCGTGTTATTTTGGGGAGCTTTCTCCTCTTTGGATGCTTCAGCCTTCTTCACGTTCGTCATACCTTTGGGTACAGGAAGTCTTGATTTCCGTCGTCTTTTTCTCTTTACGACCGTTTCCGTGACCTCGGGAACCACCTGATCGGCTTCAGGATCCACCACCTGGTCCGATTCCGGCTGATCACTTGTGGCAGTGACTCTTTTTGGTAGAAGATTAATATGAGGAATATTATCGTCCGGTTCAAGGCTATCTGTGTAACTTCCGGAATCGGACAAATCCAAATCCTGTTTGTCTTCCCGGTTTAAATAAAAACTTTCGTGTTCGTTGTTACGATCAACGGTTCCGATTGGAATAAACGTGCCGGTACCGACAAAATGAATAGGGTCCGTCGAAACAACAGGATTGTTCTCACCGTCAGCAACCTTGTCTAAAGAATCTTGAGACGCTCTCAAGTCGGTGTTAAGTCTGTCCAAACTAGGCAGTACAAGAGATTCCTTTAAGGATAATCGTTCCTGAACGTCCACACAATCTTCCTTGGTATCGATTACGGAATCTTGAGATCTTAGACACTCCGTCGCTTCTTTAAGATTATCTGTGGTGGTGGGATTCGTCTGTGGTTCTGTCTGGTGTAAGATCGCCGTATCGGAGGTGGATTCTGGTAGATCAACAACTGTTTCACTCTCCATATTTGGTCAGATCCATCTTCAAAAACGTTAGCGAACTTTGATTGACAAATAGCTGTAAACTTTGAAGAAAGTAAACACGTTTGATATCGATTGCGATTAAGCAAGAACGCGAATTTAACTCCGATCACATCTGTTGCCATTCATATCAGAAAAATGTATCACATATCAAAAAGTCTGAAAACTGTAAAATGGAAGACACATACAAGCTACATGTCGAGTGTTTCAAATCAAAATTTTTGACAAGTCACAATTCAAAATGGCTGCCAAAGCAGAAGTGAAAAAAGAAGTAAAAACTATGCAGCAGCTGAGAAAATAATAATTTAATATCAATACATAATTTGTTACTATGGAAACTGGACACCTGTTGCACTTGGGTTGAACTATGTATGTATATATCGATGATATAAATATATTTAAGACCAATACAGGGTCTGACCTTAACGGACTATTAATTCCGGTTTAGTCCATCCATTGTCCTCAAAACTTTATAAATGCTCAATTTTGGGGGTATTCATTCATTTAAGCATATATCTTAGTTTATATATTTTTGAGAAGGAGAGGTGGTGTGTGTGTGTATGCGTGTGGGGGGGGGGGGGGCGTGGGGGTATTTTTCTGCAGCTGGCCTGTGTTTATTAAACCAGGAAGACATAAAAGTAGGAGCTAACCTCCATTTTATTTCATACACCTGGTAGGACAGTCCAAATGAAGCTGTGATAGGGGAGCGAAGGGTATATTCATTTTATTAATAGATCTTTTGGATCAATCCTGACCCTTGGAACTATGCAATTTGTAGACGTGGGGATGGGGATTATGAAGATCAACCTGATGGGGTAAGAGTCAGTGGGGACCATTTGCTTCTACAGTAAAAAATAAATACACCACTCCTAAAGATTGTATGGATACTCTTTACTTCATGCATCAAATTCGTGATAGTCTATTGGTTACACAGACCTTTAAAAATGTTACAGGTTCACACACTTTGTGAAAGAAACACTTTCCAATATGTCAGTCAATTTTGTAACAGCAATTTAGTTACACAGATGAGTCACAACTCCACGCAAAAAAATTGTGTGAGAAACACAATTGAACTGGAACAATTTTGCATCAGACTTTTCATCACACACAAAAACTTACGAATCCACAAAAAATCTTTGAGGAACACACCTTGGAATACATTGGATCAAAATTTTAGGATCCACACAAAACCAGTGTGGCATAGAACACACTTCGAACACAGAGGATGAATATAATAAACAGTCATATACTCTGATCTCCTGAGTAATATGAATCAGAATGACGTTGTTAAGGACATGTGATGTCACTTAGTAACAGCCACTTCACTGGTTGCTAGGGTACATACCACTTAATGTGGCTGTTGAAAGGGTAAAAATGTTGGATCCTTTCAATTTGTGACCATCATCTTGACAGGCACAATATTTTGAAATGAAATCCAGAATTGCTTAGGCACCATCAGATTCTCCCCGAAAGCATTCATAAAATATTCCCTGCTACTCGTAAAACATTATTTTTAGAGAATCGCAGGAACAAAATGGAAGTAGACTTAGTTGAGAAAATTCCATGAAGTTCTGGAGAAGATTGATTATCACTGATGCTGAAATCAAAATGGAAGAAGATTTAAAATGCGAAGATTTTTCCTAACGACTTCTGATGTGATGAAAGCAATGGGAAGATTCATCATAAGAAGAGATAGATATACCAAAGCCATCAGCTGGTACATCATCAATACCTCCTTTTTGTGAAGTTTTAGTTAAAATTATATACAATTTAGTAATTACCAGTACATACCCACTAGGTTTCAACTCTGACTTGACCTCTCTGTTCTTCCTAACATCCCAGAGTCGAACACAGCAGTCCAGACCTCCTGATGCTAATATAGTACTGTCTGGATTGAAGTTTAGACTGTAGACTGTATCACTGTGTCCTTGTAGTTCTTTAAACAATGTACCAGAGCTCAAATCCCATATCTTTATACGCCGGTCTTCTCCTGTAATATAATGAAAAGAAGCAATGATTGCAACTCTTCTGGTCACTCTGAATCAACTTTTTGGAATTCTGGATCCTGATCTTTCAGTTTGGTTGTATGTACTACTTTTCTCTTATCTATTTAGGAGGTAGCATAGTTCTTGCTTCCCAAATCAGCCCAATAAAACTTTAAGACATTTTCTTCTGCTTCTTAAAGTAAAGCATGAACAGTGGAATTGGACAGATCTCTCTACAATCCTTACAAGCCCACAGCAGAGATTCTCTGGTTTGTCTGGTCATGTCCAGAAAACACAGGCAAATCAACAGCCCTGACAGAGGAAAAGTTTTCTTAGTGGAGAACAATATTCGTACTCACCAGCAGAAGCTAGATATTGACCGTTTGGTGAAAAGGCCAAAGACAATATTGAACTGTGATGACCCTGGAGCAGACGGACACAGCGGCCATCTTGTAAACTCCACAATCTGATAGTTCTATCCCCAGAACCCGTTGCTACGTAGTTACTGTTGGGATGGAATTTCACCACCTGAAAATATTAGAACCAAGGAATTAAGCCAACCTGCAAAATATTAGTAGCAGCTAATGAACTATTCATATGAGAAGTATATCAATCATAAATGAGTAAGTATTTCATAATGAAAAGTGGTATCAGGTGTCTAGAAGAGTTAGCATAACTATACTTACATCCACATCATAAGTATGCCCAATAAAGGATCTGATTGGATAATTTCTGTCATATGACCACAGTTTGGCTGTTCTATCTTGAGAACAACTGACGAAATATCCCAAGCCACTGAAAACAAAAGATTGACAGTAAAAGTAATATGAAAACCAGAGATTTTTCAAGATTTACTGGAGGGTAAGAAGATGTGCATTATATTCGCAAATATACAGTATATACAGGAGTCTTCTAATGAATTAAACCTGTACCTGTTTCCTGTGTAAGAGAGTAAACAAGACTTACCTTGTATCCAGAGACCAAACAGCTGAACTATGACCTCTGTACAACACCACATTACTGTGACTGGAGAGATCCCATAACCTCACTACAAATACAAACAACACACATGGAATACCAGGGCTTACTATTCTAATTATAAAACAATTGGATTGTCCACAGTGAATTCAGATCCCACACCTTCTCTACTATTCTTATCATTCTATATGGAGATTCTCATTTTGCAAGGAGATCATGCACCCCTTCCCATTCCCTTCTTAATTTTTCTAATGTCCCACATTGGGAAAGTAAAGACTGTGACTGAGTAAGCAGACCTACCAGAGTTATCCAGGGAAGCTGAGAGTAAATATTGAGAATCAGGGGTAAAACAGGTTTTATAAACAGCACCATTATGACCTCGTAGTTTGATAGTTTCAACATCTTTTTTTCTGAAATGATACAAATAGATTGTTTAATTGTAGTCTGAGGTACTATCTGATACTGAGTTATTTGCCCTTGATTTGTATAGAATTTTGACAGTAAAGTTTAGACAGACATATATAACAGTTTCATACCTCTGTGACAAGTTATTACTATCATCACTACCAGTACAATGATCAACAGCTAGAGTTATAACAGCAGGATTAGATAGGAATGGATTGGTATGGATTAAATCGGGATCTAAACTCCACAAGGATATGGTAGAGTCTTCAAAACCAGCTGATATCAAACTATTATTACTCGATACATCCACACTGTATAGTCTATAAATAGAAAGATATAAACTACTCAGGGTGCTGCTCAGTTGTAATCTCCATCAGGAAATAACTAAGAGACTAGATCCTTAGTTAGTAGAGATATAGATTGTCGTCTGATAGGCAATTAGGTGCTGTGGGTTTGAATCCTCCTCAAGGTAACACAAATTCTGATGCCACAGCCTGCGCTTCTGACATTTGGAACTATAATGCTAGAATACCTACCCATTTGATGTATTAAGAAAAGTATAACAGCATATAGAAGATATACTAGGGGGTCCATCTCGTATTTTACTGATAGCTTGTTTTAGTACTGTTTGATTATCATTATTACATTCATCCTTTATATCTTTACTATCTGTCTCTCTTAATTCATTCTTACTTCCTTCTCTCAATTCTACAGTACTGGCACAAGTTGGCACTGTAAGAGATTAAAAAAGCATGGAAACTTTGCCATAATTTTGCAAGTGATTCTGTAAGTACAATCACCAGGCTAATTAAATTTAGACCAAACTGTTTTTTGATAAAGCCACCAACGTTAGGGTCTAAAGACAGCCCTCGCGAACGTTCATACCAAGAAACACAAACACTTACCAACAACTTTTAGAAACTGGTTAAAGATCTGGAACATTATCATATTGTCTTCATTCTTAAAAACAAAAATGTCCACCATTAGAAAAATTGTATTTTTTTCACTTTAAGTGCTATTTTATTTGCATTAGTAAAAGATGAACTATACTTCCATACATCAAGTATCAACAGAGGCAATATATTCAGCTCTAGTAGGCCACATGGTGAAGAAATACAGACTAGAGAGTTCACATACCTTAAGATATCTGAGTAAATAAGCCAGTGTATCTTCTGATAGATTAACATGGTATCTATTATCGAGGAACTCTGTAATGTCTTTACAAGATAACACATCAGTCTTCATGTCTAGCTTACGTAGTATTCTCATCACTGGTTTATGAAGGTCGTCATCTTTAAATAACGAGGAATGACGATCATAAAACTTGTGAGCTGAAATACAAATAACAGATAGTTTAATAAGGCACTATGGGTTTGAATCCTCTTCAATTGTGGAGGTCACAAACTCGAATCTTTACATAATATACAAATATCCAGGTGACTGTAGATGTGAGTCCCCCTGTGATCAAGATAAAAATAACCATACTAGCAAATCTAATGTTGGGCAGGTTGGATTTGTTTGCGGTCCTCCCTGCCCTAAAATTTAAGAATATCTGACAAACCTGGCATCTTGTGGCCATTACACAACATTTCTAAATATACATGAACAAAGATTGGGTACAGCAGTGATTTGAGTTCTATTTTATATGCTTCTAATCCTTCCAGAATAAAATTCTTTAACCTAAAATACAAAAATATAAAACAGAATCAATGGATGTTTTACAGGCCTTGAGATGTTACACTATCTAATTACAATAAGAATTTCGTTTCATAATTTTATTTTGCATCTTCATTGTAATCTTAAAAGATTTATACAATGTCGCGTAATGTTGACTTTCATTTCAACCAATCATAACGTGTCATACAGAATCTGTGTCTATTGACTATGAATTGTGGGATTACGTATTATGAAACTGCTGATATTTGCTCGTAAATGTAATTCTGATTGGAGAGTGGTGTATTTTTGGTAATATATAAAGCTTGTAACATACTTACTTGGTAAATTGTTGATCACAGGCTGTAACGTCCCCTGATATACTACTAAATGATAAAATATTCTCTGTTAAACTACTCGAGTTCATCTGACTAATAACACTCAATTCTGTTAAACTTTTCTCTCTACAACATAGTCGTTTACTTCTGTTTACTTTCTCTTCTGATGTAGCTTGTGTCTCTGACTGGATGAGAAAAAAAGGAAGACATGTAAAACTAATTCACATGGATCATTCATAACTGGCTTTTGGAACAGCAAAGAGACAAAATCAAAAGCAATATCACTCTGTGTACCACTACCAGGGTCAAAAGTTTCGAGGAAATGGACACAAATTCATGTCCTACAGACAAAATGTTTCTTAATAAGATACGTAGCTTGCAATCATAAACGTTTAAGTTAAGATATGACGTTATGACAGCTCACATTAAGATAGGGATAAAGTTGGGAAAACCAAGACACCATATTGCACTCACCTTGTCGAACTTCCTACGCCTCAAATAATGGTTTACAGACGTCATAATTTCCTCTCGCTTCAGTCTTCTCATTTTGTAAAACTCTTCTCGGGAAATCTGTCGTTCAACATCGCACATTTTACTACAAATTTACAATTTTCTTGGTAATTTAGCTCAAAATTGACAATTTCTTGAAGTGGCGACATCTGTAAACAAAGAACAGATAACTCTGTAAGAAAATTAATGGATTCAGACAACAACTGTTTCTCGCAAAATTCCTCAAGTCGACTCTTTATGGGGAACAACTCGATGTTTCTTCCGGTATATCCAGAGGTTGAAAATCATACTTGATTGGAATTAAGAATAGTTTAGAGTGGATTTAACTTTAGAATAGATTAGATCGTAAATAGATTGGAATTAAAAATATATCATATTAAAAATAAATTGGAATTCAAATAGATTGCAAATATATAGATATATTAGGAATAGATACGATTGTAAATAGATTGGAATTTAGAATAGATTCAAATGTAAATAGATTGGAACTGAGAAAAGATTGGAATGTAAATAGATTGGAATTAAGAATAGATTTGGATTAAGAATACATTAGATTGTAAATAGATTGGAATAGGTTTATATTTAGTACAGATAAGAATTTAGAATAGATTAGAATGTAAATAGATTGGAATGTATTTTATTTTAGAATAGATTGCAAATTCTAGAATAGATTAGAATTAAGAATAGATTAGAATTAAGAAAAGATTAGATTGTAAATAGATTGGAATAGATTAAATTTTGTATGGATTGGAATTAAGAACAAATTAAATTTGGAATAGATTTGATTGTGACTATATTGGAGTTTAGAATAGATTAGAATGTAAATAAATTGGAATAGATTGGAGTTTAGAATAGATTAGAATGTAAATAAATTGGAATCGATTAAAATTTAGACTAGATTGGACTATATAACATATTGATATTTTCAAAAGACTAGAGAAGACCTAGATGTCAAATCGAAAACTGAATGCAGTAGCATAAACTTCTTTGTAATCTGAGGAACAGCCTCTGTGGGGACTTGATCAGTATTTTAAATGGCTAAATAATCATTGTAATAAAAATGAATATGAAAGCGGATTAAAATGGCGTTCTGTGGGGTGGTTCACCTCAATCTTCACGACAATAAATCCACATTACAGGCCTACTACAGATGAAATTGTCCTATATATCACAAAACTGATTTTTAATGGAACATTTATTGAGAAGTTGCGGATTTTCATTAATAACATCTTTCCATAGACAGAAGTAAATATCTACTTAATTACGGCGTCCCTGGAGACAGCCGCCATCTTGATTATCACTAACTCGAAAACATTTTGGTCCTGAGAGTATCGAACGTGTTAAGAGCAATTTGTAATAGAGAGTAATTCTGTCAAATTAGCACGAGCTATGAATACAAGAGTTTTCGAATCTTTTCTTCGGTTCTAGCTAAGTAGATAAAATGTTCGTAATGTGTTAAAATTGCTCGCACCTCGATGGAGCGCTTGTTGTTACTGTCTGTAAATAAATTCCAAGCTCATAAGGTGTTGCTATTTCACACTTCTTCTTACGTCACTTCCGTCAAAATTAATAACTAATTGACCACAGGCAATTGGTGCTCAAAGTAATCCATATGATTTCGACAAGAGTTCGATATGATCTGACATATTTTTGAAAGAAATTCACACGAAATAATTCATTAGAAATAAAAACAACCCAAAAATCTTTGGAATGTTTCGGATTACCCTTCTCTTTAAAAAATTCTCAAAATGTCAGATTGACAATACAAAATTCCATTCTTCGGTGCTCAAAGTGATTTGATATCTTTTCATTTGAAAAATGACCCAATGAAATAAATAAAATTGAAAAAAATAAATGAATGAATGAAAACAACGGTCACCCATCTTCCCAAGCTACATTGTTTTACGAACCTTGTCTTATACCATGATTCCATAGTCGCCTTAACAAGTCAGTTAACAATAAGCCAAAATTTTGGTTGTCTGTATTTGTTAGTGTACTATCCAATCAAATCGCTGCGTTTGCAAACTTCTGTGACACAAGAAAGGTGGCTATTGCAAACAAGATAGGCATTCGAACTTCGTAATAGCTTAACATTGTGAAGATGGCGATCGCCATGCACCATATTTCATGTTTCATGTAATTCATTTATTACCTCAATTTTTTAAACCAGGCCAATAAAAATATTGAAACCAGTAAGAAGAGATGGTAAAGGATATGGGAGAAATTAATGCGAGCGAGTCGTGAGTGAATGCAATCCATTATAGGAATCTAATCTGAAATTGAATGACATCAAGAAGTTTTGTTAGAAATTCGATTCCCAACAATTTACACGTGTAACTTTAAAAAAATACGAAAGTTGAATTATGATTTTTTTTCAGACTGACTATTTTATTTAGTATGTGGGTTTAGGGGTGACGATACGCCAATTTTAAATTATTTCATAGATCCATTTACAGTTTTTGCGCTCAACTCATATTTCTACAGTAACTATAGTAATAAAGTGGTCCTCACACCAGTTGCGAATATCAAAAACGGTCATACGTTTCGAACGCAACTATCATGCTATAGGAGGCTCCCACACCATAGCGATCGCAAGTTGTGTGTGGTTGCGAATAACTATAGCGATCCCTTTCAGACAATCCTATCACAGAGACCAGTCTAGTGGAATGGCACAAATTAAAATTACGCATATACAAAGGACAGAAATCTCATTTTAAATCTCTTCATAATATATAATTTAGAAATCCCTAAATTTCAAATTCAATATTCAGGCCTTGTACTTGCGATATAATCCTGAATTTGCAATTTACCCGTATTAAATTTGATAACCAAATTTCACGTAAGGTGTGTCTACAATTGATCAATATGCACTGTGTAAACCTAATGGAAGAGAAGAATGGCAGGTATTTTAAGTAGGTTTAAGTAGAAAATGTGGGCAATTTTACGTCAGGTTACGTTCATATTTCATATTTTGTCAAAAACAGTTACTGAGAATTTAAACAACGCAAAATTTTTGATTCGAGGTCTCCTACGTATTTTCAGTCCAAGAAAAAGTCCCCCCACGATATTGGCTAAATGATCATTAAGACATAAAAGAGCGCGTGGGTTTCCATTTCATTGTTAGGCAAGATCCAGCGTTGTTCACACACATATAAAACCGCGGGAAAAGGTGCGTGAATTATTCCAGAAAGAGACAAGAGCGCGTGACTATTAGAATAACAATTTGCTTGGAACTTGGTGCCTGAAACAGCAACAGATTTTTAGAAGGAACAAATTCGACAGAAAATATTTCACGTAAGTTTACCCTTGTTTTATATAGATCTTACAAAAATATTTTACATTTATTGTGGGTGTACTCATTAGTTTCTTCCATTCAGTCAAAATATATTCTCTGACTTGTAAAAGATTTCAGAGAAAACCTAAGAGAAAATCACAAAATTAAAAGGATTTATAGGAAGGGGGTAATGCAATCGAGTAGAATCCAGGCCACGTATACTCGAAACGATCTTAGCACTAGTGTATCATAGAATCAATGTTAGAAGATAAGAACCTAGGACATCCAAGCGCTAAGATCGTTTCGAGAATACGTGGTCTGAAATGGCTCACAGACAAATTCTTCCAATCTTTCCTGAACAGAAGTTAAAACTCAAATTGTTAAAGCGAAATGTCTTTCAAAAAGCAGCCTGTTAGCTTCCAACAAACTTTTATTTTGGTTCTATTTCCAAAGCCTTAAGTTGTCAATAATTTGACGAAGATTTGACGGTCATTCCTCATCAGGAAAGCCAGCGCTTGCAGCCTAATACAGCCTACCACACCCGGTACCACGGTGTTTTCGGCTAATGAATTTGAGCGGACATCTTTCTTAAAAGCCCGCACCCACATCTCTTTTTCAATAAGTGTAAAAACTCTTTGAGTAAAATCAACTAACTCAAAAGATAAGAGTTTTACGTCTCTCTTTTCCGCTTTTTTCAAACAATTTTCAATAAAAACAATTAGCGATTAGCCACCAAGCCTATCATATAAGGACATTCATTTTTCATAACTTAAAACAACTCGACCGTTCTATTTCTTTTGATCAGAAGGAAACAATAATTAAACAAATTAAGAGACAAAGGTAACCCTTTGAATCATGCATGTTTTATATGGTAAAATTCTTTAAATGGTAAATATTTCATTTATACATGTACCTTACTCGATAATGATTGCTTCAATAGTTTCCCTTCTTAAAACAGCACAGTTCTACTGTGCGCCCTTGCTTGAAGCTTGCTATTGGGTAGCATATGGTAAAGATTTACGCACATGTCATTATTAAATCTGTCCCGGTCGGATATTTACAAATATTGACGTCATTCTGTATGATCCAGGACGGATAATTACAAATATTGACGCCATTCTGAATAATCCAGGACGGATATTTACAAATATTGACGCCATTCTGAATAATCCAGGACGGATATTTACAAATATTAACGTCATTCTGAATAATCTAGGTCAGATATTTACAAATATTGACGTCATTCTGAATGATCTAGGTCAGATATTTACAAATATTGACGTCATTCTGAATGATCCAGGTCGAATATTTACAAAATATTGACGTTATTATAAATATTGACGTTATTATAAATATTGACGTAATTATAAATATTGACGTAATTATAAATATTGACGTTACTTCTCATATTAAATATAAGAAGATTATAAAGCCACTCTGCAATAGGGGTTTTTAAACTCAACGTCCTTTGTTGAGATGGAAGATGGGTTTTTATATTTCTTTTCAGAACAAAAAATCAGAAACAAAAACGTTTACGAGTACAACTTTCAATCAAGACAATATTAATTTAAAAATGTGCTAAAAAAGCTTTGATATGACAACACTGTAAATTATATTCTATAATTTGAATGTATGTCGTGCTAATGTTAATTGTGAATTTCAAATTTGAAATATCGCTCCTTGAGATATGACTTTTTGAAAGAGCTGAAACGTTCAAACTGACACTCGAAGCGAGAATATTTTAATCTAAGTTGATTTTATGAAGGCTATAAGTTAGATTTTTTTTTATTTGATTTTTTTTGGAATTGCTGAAGCTTTGTAATATATTAAGGGTTGATATCTTTATTAAACAGAGAAAAGTGATCTGAAATTG